GCAGCACATCCAGGAACTCAAGAAGCAATTCCGACACATTCCCGAACAATACTTATCTCCCCTCAACGAAGTCACACGTAGCGACCATCAGTGGACAGAGGAGGTTGCTACGTTGCTGAATCGTTACTATGGCAAGTTGCCCGCCAAACGCCTGGACATCAATTACAAGCTCGCGCCTTTGACGACGGAAGAGCTGGAGGGGTCATCCGATGGCTGGCAAAAGGTTGCCTCGCCAAAGACGTCACTCATGTCGCCTGTTGGGCGCCCCCTTAACAGTCCGGTTCTCCTGAGTAGCCCCTCGTCGGGACCCCGCACTTATCAGCAAGCCATGGACACAGCTGGCATGTACCGTGAGGCCAGCAGCCACTCTTATACGACTGCTGGCCAAGTGTACAAAAAGGGACATTTGTACAGGCAGGCAGCAGGATACTATGCAGATCGGGGACGTGAGGAGGCACGCAGTTTCGCCAAGGCGAAGAGCGTCGCGGCCGACATACACGTTTCCAGCACTAGTTCAGGAAAGTCGATCGATCTCCATGGCGTTGAAGTTGCGGACGGCGTCCGAATTGCTCGTGAGCGCGTCTGGGACTGGTGGAACGGCCTCGGCGAGTACCGAGCAAGGAAGGCGGTCGAAGGCTTCACGATTGTTACAGGCCGCGGCCTCCATAGCGCCGGAGGCGTGTCGCGACTGAGACAGGGCGTTATTGCCGCCCTCGTCAACGACGGGTGGAAAGTATCGATCGAAACTGGAAGCTATCGTGTGACGGGTCGCCGTTGATTCAGCTAGACTGACTTACGAGGTGGGTGTTGTTTGGAAGGAATGGCGCTTGCTTGCGTCAACTTGGCAAGTCTGGACCCGACTTTGAGAGCCTCGGATGCTTCCGAGCAGGCACCAGCATAAAACAACCGTCCTGAAACCTGCATAGCCGTCGCCCGGTATTGCTGTGTCCAAAGTCTGAATGGTGGAGCATTGGTTGGACCGACAGCATATCTTGATTAGCATTATCACTGGGGCATTCAAGAGAGCGGGTATCATTGGACGGATTGGGGGCGAAGATATCCCTTTGGAAGTTTTGACAGCGACACAATAGAAGGTTTGGAATATCCATGCTAAGATTATCTATGGTTGTCGATGGCGAACAGTCCAATTTCCTGGCAGAAAGACTCTTGGTCGTGAGGTGCTTATTGACATGCCGAGGAGGGGGGGATAAACCAGGCTTACAAGCGATGTTTAACTTCTAGAGGTCGGGATGTAATGCCAACACGATTGCAGGCTAACCAGCACCACAGCAGCATATTCAAAGATGCTTCTATGAATACGAACCCATGGTCTCATGAGGCTAATACAATCCCTTGCCACGTTCCTCCAGCAAGCCACTAGCCTACGCGTACCTCAGCGTGCTCAGCGACCCCAAGGACGGGACTTTGGTAAGATTCGCGACGATCACCACCGTAACCGTAACCACATCAAAGCCTAAGCTAGACACCAAGGACACTAAAAAACATTGGAAATCTCTTGATACAGCGTCAATCCTTCTCCTAAAGAAAAAAGTCCGAATCGCACCGCCTACACCCAATCCGTCCGGCCGGCCAATTATAAGCTTCCCCTCGTGAGGCGGGGGTGGTTTGATGTTGGTGTGTCACTATGTCAAAGTGGACCTCCAGGCAACCGAATTCCGGACAACGTCAGTGGGTGAACGACTTGGAGATCCCGCATGGCGAAGCCGGGGCGCGCCTCCGCGGCTCTCGGGACCCTTTGTTGCCATTGGAGGAGGGTACAGAAGGGGGGAGTGTCTGTTGGCTCAAGGGATGAGAGAGAACCTGGGTGCGCGTGAGAATCCCAAGGCGCACTTACGTTTGAGGGGTGTCCTCTTACTCTATTGCTCAGGAATATGGGTCTATCTGTGTGGTCTGGTTCTGATTCTGGTCTCCCCTTCCCTTGAGACTGACCCCGAAGTATCTCTCTCACCTTTCACTACACACACACATACACACATACAACATTTCGTGCCTGCTGCCTTTTCCCATTCATGAGATGGGGCACGACTCAGTCTCGTATAAAACAGCCTCTCCCTCACCACCCACCGTCAGATGAAACCTCTCGATGCCTGTCTATTCGGATAAGCAAGCACTGTCCTACACAGACAACACACACCACTACCAACCCCACGATATAATATACGACCTCCCCTCGACCAAATTCCTAGGCTCTCTCAAAACCATGGCCTCCTCCCCGTCGGAAAGCAGACCGTTGAACCCCAATGTCGTCTTCCGCCCCCTGACCCCTACGTCCCACCACTCATCCGCGCCCTCATCTCACAACGGCAGCGGCTTGTCTTCGCCCATGGTCTTCGTAAGGTTCATCATCAACTCCGTCGCCCTCCTGCGCTTCATCGCCGTCGCCCTCAGCCTCACCCTCGTTATCCTAGAGTGGGACGGCCGGAGGCGGTACGAGAGCCTCTCCAAGGTCTTCATCTTTTTGGCTACACTGCAGCTGCTATGGCTCACATTCGCGCTGTTGGTGCAGGGCGGGAGCCACCGGCGCGTTGACCGGAACAAGCCCGTCGTCGTCGACCTCGGATGCGTCAAGTGCATCTTTGGCCGCCGTGGACGGCGCGGTGATGGCGGTGGTGATGACGACGAGGAGAGCCATGGTGGGATGCGCGGGTGGTTTGATGGCGATGATAAGAAGAAGAGAAGGGCACTGGGGTGGGTGTATACTGCTGTAGATATTACGTTTGCGGCGATTTCTTTCACGTCTGGTGTCATTGCCGCTGGTGAGCCGTACTGCTGGCGTTACGAGACCTACGTTGGCATTGCGGTTGTTGCCATCATTGTTGGGTAAGTTGTTTGCCAGGCTGTTTCTCTGGTTTCGTTGCTGACAAGAAAAAACAGTGTGCTTGAGGCTGTCATTGCAATTGCCCAGCAATTCTCCATCTTGAGGCGTGCCAAGGTTCAGGTCCTGTGGGACGAGGACGACGAGGACGATCTCGGGTCGCACAAGTACCGCATCCGACTTCCCCAAGCTCCGGAGCAGAGGCATGCCCCCATGTCTGTCTCTGCCGAGTAAACGGGAGACTCCTCGGAGAAATGGAGCTCGATATGAGAATGAGGAACTCATCCACTTAGTGATCAACTATAGCCTGTGGTGGAGTGCAATGGAGGAGGATATGATAGATATGATGACACCATGGACGAAGACTGGCCTGGAGTTTGTAAGAAGAGTGTGCTTTGATTTTTGATCTGATATCATGCAGGACGTAATTCCCTGTCCATCTATAAATCTATGTAAATATAAATGCTGGTCCTCTAGAATGGGGACACTTCAATCATCGCATCCCATTTACCCACCTCGTGAGTGAGAAATCCAATCTCATTGCAGATCTTGTTCATCAAGAGCTCCTTCTCTGACCAACAGTCGCACCGCATCTATCCCAAATATCTCTACTGCTCAAGACGGTAGTGATGAACATGGCAATCCCAACAGTCCCCGGCTGAACATTGACCCAGCCCAGAATCACACCCGGAATAAGGCAATCCAACGAGTCGCAAAAGATCTTGCGCCCAAGACTCTTGACCTTGACCGCGACCTCCCTCCGCCACCGCTTCCTATCCTCCCGCCTCTTCATGACAATGGCCCGGAGACGAGTACGCTCAGCCTCCCAATCAAGCTTCTCGTCCTCTCCTCCCTCGCCGCTCTTCTTCTCGTCAGAGACTGCACTGGCGGCGGCGGCAGCTTCCTTCTCAGCACCATCCTTAACGGCATCCTTCTTCTCACCCGGCTTCTCCCCCGTGCCATACCCATGCCCATGCTGCGGCACCGGCGCGTACGCAAAAGCTTTGAGCACCCTCGTCAAATTCGCAAAGACGCCTGCCGCCAACGCGAGAAGCCAAAACCGCTGCGCCTCGATATTCAGCGCCCGCGTGCGCCCGGCGCCAAAGTACGCGATCTGCGGGACGCCTAGTAGGTCCGGGAGGGTGAGGGACTCGAGACCGCCGTAGAGGCCGAGGAGCGTGAACCTGATGATGTCGAGCCAGGTCTCCAGTCCCGCGCCTTGGCTCTTCTTGGTCGATGAAGATGGTGACGGTGACGAGGAGATGGAGGTGTAGAGGTTGTACGACGTGCCAAAGGAGTTGAGGAACCAGAAGAAGCGGATGAAGCGGCGGGTGAGATTGAGGTGGCCTCGTAGCGGGCCGAGAGCTTCGAGGAATGGCGGGTCTGCGTCGAGGAGGGCGAGGGCCACGAGGGATGGGTAGGCGGAGAAGATTGCGGTGAGGGATTGGAGGCCGCGGAGGATACGTTCGAGACCGGCTTGGGTTATGTGTGTCAGCTTGTTCATGAGAGTGAGGGTGGGGGTGGGGGTGAGGGTGAGCGGTGAGCGGGTTGGAGGGATGAGTGAAAGGCATCGTTATCTCAGGCAGTGATCGAGGCGGAATTGAGGCAATAAGATAGACCGAATCCAACGATTGATATATGCAGCGTATGAGAGTGCTGAACCGAGGAAACTACTCACCACTGTCAGACCCGAAGGCGACGAACTGGTCAAAAGTGAAAGAAGTCATCTCGGCGAAACTTTACCCACCAGAGGACAGATAGACAAGAAAGCACAAAAAAAAAACACAACTCAAGTTCGTTCTAATAAAAACCCCAATAAGAATACTCGATGAACACACGGAGCACAATCTCCAACCGGCCGAGGGAGTTGTAATTAGTGGGTAGACGGAGGCGGTCAACGAAATCGGAGACGGTAGTTTAAAGAAACCCCCGCCCGCCGTTCTTCGGAGGTTTCCTTTCGCCGGTGGTCCAGCCAGCCGAGTCCCGAGCTGACCGGATCTGTGGGCCGAGTACAACATCCCTGGCTTGCTTTGCGGACTTGCATAAAGAGATGAGAAATACAGTGGCCTTATTGGACAGAATTCTTGAGGCTTAACGCCGATAGCGTGGCTTGAAGAATTAACGTGTATGATTCATAGACTCTCTCATACATGATTTAGCTACACATCGGAGCAGTTCAGTCTATCACTTGACTATCGAGAGTTTACAGACATCTCGCCTTCGAATTGGGGTCATCACACTAGTATGGGCAACGATGTGTACAAGTTGAATAGTCGTGAACAAATGAACTCCAGCGCATTTAGGGCTCTGCTAATGTACTACTAATATATACAAGCCCTCGGGCGCCGGTCTACAAGCATGCAAAAATCCCAGCCTTTTACTGTCCCGGTGAAACCAGCTTGCCCTGAGCCCGGGCAGTAGGCTCCCAACCACCACCCAGAGCGTTAGCACCGCCGTTCAGCGCAGCGTACTCCTCCATTCTCTTCTCAAGCTCGGGACGGAAATGTCTAATAAGACCCTGAAGGGGCCAGGCGAAAGCCTCACCGAGAGCTAGACAAAGAGATACATTAGCAATGGTAATCGTTGACGTCATGGACGAATATACATACCGCAAATGGTGTGACCCTCGACTTGCTTGGTGAGCTCCTGAAGCATATCGATCTCGCGTGGCCGGCCCTGGCCCTTCTCGAAACGCTTCATGATCTGGTCGGTCCACTTGCTACCCTCTCTGCAGGGTGTGCATTGACCGCAGGACTCGTGGGCGTAGAAGTGGGAGAGACGGCTGATGGCGCGGACAACATCCGTGCTCTTGTCCATTACAATAACGGCGGCAGTACCGAGACCGGACTGGCTGTCCTTGAGACCGTCGAAGTCCATAAGCTGGTTGTCGCAGATGCTCTTGGGAAGAATAGGGGTGGAAGAACCACCGGGAATGACGGCCAAAAGGTTGTCCCAGCCGCCACGGACACCGCCGCAGTGCTTGTCGATGAGCTCACGCAGGGGTATCGACATCTCCTCCTCGACGGTCACGGGGTTGTTAACGTGACCGGAAATGCAGAAGAGCTTGGTGCCCTGGTTACGCTCACGGCCAAAGCCGGCAAACCAGTTGCCACCGCGTCTGCAAATGGTGGGGGCGACAGCGATAGTCTCGACGTTGGCGACGGTGGAAGGGCATCCGAAAAGACCGACAGCGGCGGGGAAAGGGGGCTTGAGACGGGGCTTTCCGGGCTTGCCCTCGAGGGACTCGATGAGGGAGGTCTCCTCACCGCAGACGTAGGCACCGGCACCACGGTGAATAAAGACATCAAAGTCGTATCCGGAGTTGCAGGCGTTCTTGCCAATCAATCCATCCTTGTATGCCTCGTTGATGGCGTTCTGGAGGACGGCAGCTTCGTGAACGAACTCGCCGCGGATGTAGATGTAGGCGGCGGTGGCGTTCATCGCTCTGCCGGCGACGAGGCAGCCCTCGATAAGCTTGTGGGGGTCCTTTCGCATAATCTCGCGGTCCTTGCAGGTTCCGGGCTCGCCTTCATCGGCGTTGACGACCAAATATCTCGGCTTGTCGTCCTTATCCCAGTCCTTGAAGTTCATGAATGACTGCGCGATTGCCATTGCGTTAGCCCGTTGTTCCGCCCCTTCCCTTGATTGCCGCGGCAATAGTCCAGCAAAATCGCGAGGTGGCAACCTACCCATTTCAACCCTGAAGGGAAACCGGCACCTCCACGTCCACGGAGACCGGAGGCCTTGACCTCGCTGATAATCCAGTCGTGTCCCTTGAGAATGATCTCCTTCGTCTTGTGCCAATCGCCCAACTTCTTCGCGGAAGCCAGCGTCGGGGGCAACCGGCCGTACAGATTCTGGAAAATACGGTCCTGATCCTTGAGTCCGCCGTAGGTTCGTACTGTCGCAAAGTTTCGCGCAGCCTGAGCGGCCTGCGCGGGCAACCGCCGTGGAGTGGCCATCGTGGGCGTTTGGGGGGGTGTCTGGTGGTGGATGGAGGTTGTCGATCGGAGGAATTCGTCGTCGTGGAACACAGCTCAATTGCACCAAATCGATGATGCTTATTTCCAACTGGCGTTGATTGGCCAATGCGGGTCATCTAGTCAGCGATTTGGTCACGTGGGAGCGCGGATGCATTAACCGGGGTTATGCGCTGGGGCAGCTCCTGAGAATCGACGTTGGACTCTACTACCCCACGGCGAGCTACCCCATCACTAACACCGTTGCGCGTCGCATCACGGTCTCCCATGTGAGCCTGGAATTGTTACAGGTGTCAATGATAATGCACCTTACATCATTTGGCTAGTATTTGCATTGGGTCGGAGCAATCCAGGACACGTACCACAATGTCGTCTAACAAGCGGCATTCTATGCTGCCCGCCGTCTCCAACCAAGGCCCGCGACCTCCCGTTAGCTTCTCGTCATCTCTCACCGTGGCCGACAGCGCCATTCTCGTCGGAACACACTCGATCACGATCCAGTCAGAAAGCGTATTGCACCCACGATCGAAGCTCGAGACCACGAACGGCAGCATCCTCATTGGTCGGAGGTGCATCATCCACGAGCGAGCTCATATCGGCAAAGTTGGTGACGACGACGCCAGCGGAGGCATCTCGCTCGGAGACTACGTGACGGTAGAGGTTGGCGCCATCATTGAAGCTGGAGGCACAGATATCGGAACAGACACGGTCGTCGGGGTCCGATCTCGGATCGGAAACGGCGCTGTCATTGGCAAGGTTGGTGCCATCTTTCCGTCAGACCAGCTGGGATGGCCAACTGACTACTGCAGAACTGCACGATCTCGCCTTTGACTGTCATCAAGCCTGGCGAAAAGATTCCGGATTTCACAGTGGTCTACTCGAATGGGCAAAGACGGACGGACAGGCGGGGAGTCGCAGACTTGAGACACAAGGCGCAGGCGCGGCAGATTGATGTGCTTAGAAGATTGATACCCAACAAGGCCGAGAAATGGCTGAGTTAAGAATGGAATAGACATGATACCCCATGATTTAGCTTCACTGAAGTATTGATAAGTTATGCAAACGATGACGTTCCCCGGTAGGCGGTAAACATGTTCAAAACCCGAGGGAACAAAGGATACACGACGAAAGCTTGCCAGGTATATGTACGAAGACCATCAGAAAAGTCACCACCCGCAGTAGCCGAGCGGTATACAACTGGTAGAAATGCCAAAGGTGATTTCATAGACACTCGAACCTCGCCAGTTCGAGTGTTGAACTTTTGCCATTTTTTGGTTTCTTTAGACTAATTAATCACCTTTCTTCCATGGACGAAAGAAGATGGTTGCAGATTGCCTAGTTTAACCAGCACCAGCCAGGCTGACTACCTTGAATCTCCCTGTTAGTACGAAGCATCATCGTCTGAATATGGTACACAAGGTAGCTACACAGCTGGAGAAGAATAACAAAGAGGGTGAATAAAGAATAGAGCGATCGAGGGTTGAACATTAGGTTCCGAAATAAATCGGAGACCCCACGGTCTAGTCAGAGCCTCTAGAGCCCAGAAGCCCTTCGACCTTGTGGCCCGTTGCTTGCTGATATTATAGAGATGATTCACTCCTCATCAAGGTTGGGAAGTGCCCCTTATTGACAGAGATGAGATGGAGGGGAGTCGCACTACGGTCCTCGCCAGACAACAACGTCGCCATGGAAGATCAAGCTGCTCTCCTGCAACTACCTTACATCTTTCGACTTCTACTTCAACAATTTCGGCCTTGGCATCACTTTTCGTGCCGGTCTGAAGGGCTAAATGAAGCCATGGCATGGGGATGTCTGGGGCAATTAATGGTTTCCTACTGTCTGATGCGATATTTCACACGGAACGACTTAACCTGACCTTGCTCATCTGAGGCTAGGATACAAGTACCGACAGAATGCTTGCATATGGGCTAGGACGAACTCGTTATGTTCAAAATTGCTTCTCATTCGCAGGTCTCAAGCTTCGCTGAAACCATATATATATATAGAACACTAGTAAAGTAAGGGCGAAATGATATGTGCCCCAGCGTCAGCCAGTTGCGGTAGCCATCGCCCTGTTCACCTTTCGCACCAAGACGAGTCCTTTGATGACAGCCTCCTGTAATATTTGCGATGCTATCCGATGGAGGACCTAGCGTTCAAGCCATTCGAAGAAGGCCAGAAGGCGGTCGATGTCCTTTTGACTGTCGCGCTTGTTCATTTCCTCGATTCCGCGAGCCCAACTCCTAGGCGGAAGACAAACTTCGGGCCGGCGAGAGAAGTCTCTCTTGGTCGAGATGGTCGTGTCATAACGTGGAATGTATTCTAAACGAAGAAAGCAGATGATGTCAAACAAACTGCCATGGTAGCGGTCAGTGACGTCGCCCTTGAGGAAGTAGACATCAATGAACCTGGCAATCAAGTGCAGAACTGCAGGATGCGCTATAATCGCTGCTCTCCCGAAATTTAAAGCTTTAACGGAAAGGCAACAGATGGATCCGTTTTCGAAATTCGGCGCGGGAGAGATCAGTGGACCACTGAAGGCATCGTCTTGTCCCTGAGGACTCAAACTTGAACTCAAGATTTTGACGGCGTCCGGGAAGAGGCGGAAAGCTTGACAGACAGCGGATAGGGCTTGTGGACCGTCAATGGTCCCTCTAGAGTACCTAGAGATATTGGTGTAGATGTCGTCAAAAAGTTGAACAGCATCGGTCGCATTATTCTCGTTGATGGTGGTTTGGCAGGTTTCCTAAGCCTTCAAGTCAAAACCGGGGGGCCGGTCGTCGACTACCGAATCGACAGTCTCTGAATCGAGTCCCTCTCCCAGTCCGACCACGTGTGCCGTCCACGGTTCTGCAGGCACAGCCCGGTCCCCTAAACAGAACAGAGTCCGCGATTTGGCGTGCTCAGGCTGAGGGTTGCGTGCAAAGACCTCGTAGGCCTTGTTGTAATCAACACGCTGAAAGAATTGCCCGTAGTAGAAGATGGTGTGTCCAAGATCATTTCTGATGGGATCCCAGTCGCCAACTTTGGAGGCCCGTTGCCGGAAGTTGACGACCGCGACCGGGTTATTCTTGCGCCAGGCCTTGAACATTTGACCTTGGGCCGCTTCTTCTCCAATGAAGACTTCTTCTCCACCCAAGAGGCATACGATGCGAAAGTATCCTGGGAAATCGAGGCACCCCTTGTTCAGGCTATCAGTGCAACTTTCGTAGATTTTGTCGAAATGCAGGTTTTCGTGGGTGGGTTGAGGTACCAAGTACCAACAGTTATCGTCGGCCATTTTATCAGAGAGAAAAGCAGACGGCAAGGTTGTGGCCTTCGTCTCGACGATAGAGCTTTGCGAGTATTTGATAATGTCTTTGGGCGCCAATTTATATCGTGATGATGATGATTCAAAAATCATGTTGGGAGAAGCCAAGGGGGAAAAGGCGAGTGACTCAACTGCGGCAAGATGCCAGTCAGAGTACAAAATGTTCTCCTGGGTACCCGAAGGCAATATGAGAGGCAGCTGTCCATAGTCTGTAAACGCAATCCCAGGACCTTCCTTTCAGACAGAGTCTGCCTCGTGGTAAGCATCGGCGGGATGCGGTAAGTCCGCTTCGCTCTGTCTTTCCTGCATGCTTGACCGTGAGAAGTTCAAAGACACCAGAAGGAGCATCATACAGGAGAGGTAAGGCAGTGATCTTAACTCACTAACGCACTTTCCTAGATGGACCTACCTATCTCACTGAGAAGCTTCAGTCGAACTCAGATGGGGCCTTCTTCGCCTTCGGATCAAGATCAAATATCGTTACACTGGCCTGGGCTCTCGCAGAATAGGGATGAGAAGTTGAGTGTCAATGAAGATCAATCGGTAGATGTCCGCCATTTTGTTTCTACCTTACTAAGTCAGTATGTGATTCAAGACACTTAACGGCATTCACAGCACGACAACGCAGATTAACCCCCAATATTTCACCACTTGATTATATCCTGGGCTCATCGCGGCCTGTGGTTCAAAAGGCGCCTCATGGCCGTTTGTGCCTTTTTACGAATCAGTTCCACGCAAAGACAAGTCGATGCCTCTTTAATCTAAATTTTTGGTCGTGAACATGATGATTCCAGCCCGCTGCTGAGACGCCTGTACATCGCCCAGATCCCGTTGAAGTATAACTCTTTTTCTTGCATCTCTACCTACATGGACTCAGTAAAGAGCGTTCCCTCTATCTCACACTCAGCTACTCAGTATCATAAAGGCTCGTGCCCTTGCGTCGAGGAACGGTACGGGAATGTTCCCAGCAAGCAACAGTAACGCACCAACATCTTCGAACCTCCACCGCTCTCGGCGGCCGAAGACCCCGCGGAAGACGTAACAACACAAGAACATTCCGAGGGTCGTCGGTGATGTGGATCTCGAGACCGGGACATGGAACACGAAAAGGGACCCCTTCCTGACAAGAAAGCCACGCAAACACGTCAACTCGCACGTCCCCTTCTGTCCCACCGCTCCCTCTGTCACAATGACAGTCCCCTCCGATCTTCTCCGTAAGCATTCTTTCTTTCTTTCACTCTTATCCGTAGCCCATGATCCATCCGTGATCCGGCATCCCCCGTATCCTCCACCAAGCCAAGACCGGGGTCGATGGGGGGAAGGGGGGAAGCACAGAAAGACGCGTAGCCAAGTATTCGACACCCCGGGGACAAGAGTTACAAGCCTACGAGTCTACGACATGTCAAATTTGGACTTGGCTGTGTCGTCTCATGCTGCTTCAGCCGCCAAGTTCTTGTCGTCTAACTTCTACTTGGCGATCCCCCCAAAAGTCGAGATAAAAGAGAAGCTCGGTCCAACGTATAAAGACCGCTGACACGATGCCACGCCCAAGACCGCCAAGCGCAGTCTGCAAAACCGCCAAGTGGCACAAGTGACAGCCATCACTTACACTGCCTCGCTCTGGGCATTCTCAAGTTAACAGTCTTACCGGAATAGCGCTCATCACCGTCGCAGCAGAGCAAGCCTTCCAGACCTATCTGAGATTCGGAATTTTCTCGTCTGGGCATGAATAGTGAATTTTGAACCCTTGCGAACTGCTTCGTTGAGCGTCGCGCCATCACATTGCTCTTACGTTTTCCTTCCTGGCATACCCGGATACCCTATGTCGTCTGTATTCCCACGAAGGGAAACATCGTTTGCCGTGCCCATCTCGGGTTTCATGTCCCGCCAAAGCCGCCAGTCTAGTAAGACTATTGGACATCTTTTGTGGCTCAGAGATGCTGTTTCCCCGCTGTTCTCCCCATCCCGTCCGTTCCCGCCTCGGTGTGCGGGACCCCAGCCCCATGTCGAAACAAGGATTACTAGGTAGTCAACGCAACGCCCTTCACTGCAACGACATCGTGGGAGAGAGCAGATTGATAAGGAAGCTGATATATCCATACAATTCCTGTCGTCTCTAAAACGCCAAGTTTACTTTTTTCCCTACATTTCCCGCATATTTTCCTTCATGTCCTTATTATTGCTCACACTTGTCCCTCTTCTCCCTTTCTCTCCATCGTCTATCCCTTCTCCTAACACCCGTCATGCAGAGTTTCGCCCGCTAGAGATTTCAGTCTCCGTGACGTCTGCCGTCTCCTTCTTCGTCCTCAACAGGATGTCCTTGAGCGTCCTCTTCTGGGGCTTCTTTGAGAGTCTCTCGTACAGCGGCTTATGCTCTTCATGAGGATCGTGAGCCTCGCTGTAGTCGACATGGACGAAGGCCCTTTCGACATCAGACAGCCCTAGCAGCGTCCAGCAGTCAGCGAATCGAGCCCTCTTCCTTTCCCCAGTAAATCAACGCCAAAGAAGAGTACTTTACCTTCAACCTTTCTCTGCAGTTCCTGAGCAACGTCGTGCGAGATCCTCAGAGGCGTCGTCTCGTCCATGACGATGTCAATCTCCACGTAGTAATTCTGTCCAGCGTGATACGCGCGGCACTGCTCGTGGGGTCAGATGTGCCGTTCCTCACGCATCTCTCACTTCTCAGCCTGGGGTATTCTTACAGTGTCAACTTTGAGAATCCGAGTATCGTGGGTCATGGCCATGTAAATCAGCTTCGAGACAAAATCCCTCGGCGCGGACTTGCCGACGAGCAACCACACCTGCTCAAAGGCGTTGGACACCCAGGACAACAAGATGAGCAGTGCAATGCAGATGGCGCCAATGGGATCTAAGTACCAAACGAAGCGGTCTCCCACGACAGACATGATCAGACCGAAGCTGTTGACCACAATGTCATTGCGGTGATCGATCTACGGGAGGCTATTATTAGCGAAAGGCGTCGTCCGAAAAGGCAAGGTACCCGGCAAAAAGGTTGAGCAACATACAAAAAACACATGCACTGAAGGGAATTTCCGGTAGGCGAAGCAGTAGATCATCAAGGAGGCCTTGGCAAAGATGGCCACGCCGACGATAACGATGGGGATGATGTGCAGTTGTTCAGAGGCCCGCTTGCCCTCGCCAAGTGAGCGGCCTGACTCGACCTGTCGCGCGCCCCGGATCAGCCACCTAAAACTACCAAGTCATACGTCAACTTGGCAACAAAACTTACCAATAGTTGAATGGCAACGGTTGTCATGAGAGCGCAGAACAAGATGATGCCAATCGTCTCAATCCTGGTTCGTCCCTATTATTTCATCCCCAGTTTGTCAGACCCTGCTTTGGAATCTAATAGCCAAGGGTGATAACTCACCACCGGGTACTTATAAACGCTCGGGCGCGCCGCCATCCTTGAGGTGATGAGCATCACAAAGGATGAGACCAAGTCCATCTGGGCATTTCTTAGTCAACTCAACTCCTATAATGATGCTGCAACTCAGAAAATGATTGACTAACAAATGCGTCGGCTGCGGTGGCAAAAAGCTGGAAAAAAGTCCTCGAGTCAATACGAGTCCGTGAGCACAGGGACTTGGCTGCCTATCTTACCGACAGAGACCCAGTTGAGACGGCGGCGTAGAGCTGAATGACGAATAGGCAAAAGTTGACTGTGAAGGAGGCGTTGACGGCGAACTTGATCTTGGGACCCATTCGCGCGTCTTCGGCGACCTGCTGTCTCTCCTCGTCCTCGGCGCCGAGGAATTGGTCAATGAGCTCATTCTGTCGGTTGTAGAATTTCTTTAGTTTCCTCTTGTTGCCCTTGGGATGTTCAATCTTCATCTGCTTCTTGGAGACATTATCACGACGGTGTCGACCAAAGTCGTAGGGGTCCGGCCGATAAGTGTCGACGGTAGAAGCGTCCGTGGCGTCGACGTTGGAGTACGGGCCATCGCCCCCGCCTCCTCTCTTGGAGGAAGTTCTGACGACGTCACTCTTGTTGGCTGCTGTATCGTTCGAAGTCGACACGAAGAGTCCTTCAGTCACAGCTTTGTCGTCCGTGCCAGATGGCTGAGCCGGTGAGATGATGTCTGCGTTGTCCTTTGGGTGTTCATTGTGTTCCTTGTTCGCTTCAGCTTTCGAATTACTTTCCGAATGACCGACAGAGTTGCCTCGAGCTGAGGCGACTGAAGCACAATGGTCAGCGGGGACTGGTCGGCGTGTGAAAGAGTGGGATGAAGTGAAGCAGTGGCCACCACGGTTGTTGGTGGTCAGTGGTCACAGAGCAGAACCAGCGGCAGGGAAATCCGATGCGAGCAGCAGTCGCACATCTCTGCGAGGATGTGATGAACCAGCCAGCAGAGTGGAAGGATAGGATAGGTGAGGCGAAGGAGGAGAGCATAGCGGGAAGGGGTGGGAAGGGGTGTGGCCAGGAAAAAAAAAAAGAGACAGAGCCGAAACCCACGTACTAGATGATGGTTGGACGCCGTCCTGAGACTCGCGTGGAGTTTGCATTTTTGGGAACTATTGAGCTGGGTTGGATCTTGGGTGAGGTGGGAAAGTAGAAAGGATAGTACAATAGTGAAGTCGATTTTGAGACTGGTAGTCGTATATTAAAAGAGAGTAGATGGCATCCTGTACGGATACGTAGTAGTGTTCCTGATATCATGCCCGCCTCTCCGCAAAGTCCGGGGGGAGGTAGCCGGGCTGCAGAAGCGGCCCCTTATTTCGTTGATTATCATCATCAGTAAGCTCTTGCAAGCTTGCCGGCGGCCCTGCCCCCTCAATGCGCACATGTTGAACGGGCTAGAACGTTGAGATTGAGAGGGGGGAAACAAAAAGCACCCTGGACAATGACGGCAAGATTTGAGATGTGGTGCGTGTACAGGAGGCTTTCCCGCTTGTTTCCTGCGATTCCAACTCCACCGTTCCGCCAGTAGAGTGGTGATGATGGCGCACGAGGTGTTGATGTTCAGGGAATCAGGGGGCAGCTATTTGTGTCTTCCTTGTCAGAGACAACTCGTGCCGGTTTGACTTACAAGTGCAAGCGAAGGAGGCATACGCAGTCGGCAGGCGGAGTCGAGAGAGTAAAAGGTCATTTGGAGCCTAGCTTGGAGTCTCGAGGGAAGAATGACAGAGGTGACCCTGCGAGGAGATTCAAAAGCAACGATTATGTCGTTCAAAGTGATGCATAGCTGACCAACAGAAGCAGGTTGCGGAATGGGAGGATCTCAAGATGATCAAGGAAAGGTCCGAGTGACAACTTGCTTGCAGCCTACAGGTACATGTGTACACGAGGTACGCGACTACTACCTAGGTACACTGGCACAGGGCACAGTGAATGCGGTGCCGATTGGCCAGGGGCCGTGTTTCACGCACGACGGCAGACCCAGGAGCCGCGTGGGTGCACCGCAACAGGAAGCGACAGTCCTTCTGCCAAGAGTTTGGGGCTGTTACAGAGTTTTGGGCAAAGTAGCAGTGAGTAGTAGCTGTAGCGTAATCCAAAGCCAACTGTTGGCTCTCGCCCTCTCTTCTGCTTGCCTCCCTTGGCCCTGCCACTGGATGCTGAGAGTCTGAACCAGACGGTGAGACTTCGCGAGACTTTCGATACTTCGGCACCACTTCAGAAAGACTCGGGCAGAGTTTGGAAGGCGAGAGCTGAGCGCTCGGAACAACTTGCATGTTTGTTTCAATCCGGAGCAAGAATGAACGACTCCAAGACCCAACATCCCCGCTTTTCTTCGTCTCCAACTTCCATCTCTCTTTCAACTTCACTTCCACACACCTCGGTGACCGGTGACCACTCGCCTACTCTCTCACATCACCAACTCGTGCCGGGCTCAACTATCGACTCACGCTCGGATACTATAGCTTTGCTTTCTTGCCATCGCCCTCGCCCCCCCAACAGCAACAACACGCGGGCCCTGTCTCCTGTCTCTCACCTGGCCTCATCTCTTGTCTCTTCTTGTCCATCTCAGACGCCGACGGCTCCTCTTTTCCATCACGTCCCTTGGCTGCTTGGCTCCCCCAAGTTTTACCAGCCCTGCCTGGAAACTCATGGTGCGGGACTGTTGACGACTTCTCGGCGCCAGGATGTCATCCCATCCCATCTTGTGAGCCCATTCCAGAGAGTCATTCGTCACGCCCTCTTTCTCTCACCTCTCAGTTCTCGCTATGGAGTATACACATCAGCCTCCGACTAAGCCCCGACTGCAATTGTCGCGGTGGGCTGCGAGTTGTTAGGCAAAACTTGCCCTCAGATGTTTGTCCGATATAGGAAACTCTGCACGTGAGACACTCGAGGAGTAGACCCAGAAAAGCCCCGGCAAGAAGAAGCGGAGAAGAAGCAGAAGCCGACTAGAAGCAGAACCGGGCAAGGCCAGATGGATGGAGCCTTCAGTCAGTCACTCACCCATCAAGTCAACCCCGTACTACCAAGCCTGCTAAACCACCAAAGACAGCTTGGCTAACCCTTCTCTGCAGAATCGCAGCCAAGCAACCGCAGCCAAGCCAAATTCAACGACAGAATGCCATCCGCTGCCATGGGAAAAGGGGACAAGTGTGTCAGTGCTCTTGGCTTCTCTCTTGGCTCTCGACGGCTTGTGTCTGTCCCGCCAAGTTTCCCCTCTCTCCGCGCCTCCAGTCAAGCCTCCCCCGCGCTTCTTCTTCGCGGGCTACCCGGGAAGCCTCCCTAGTCACCAAGAGTCAAATCGAGTTAAGAATTTTCCGACTGGCAACCCTGGCGCTAGACCCCGGGAGGCTCCCGTTTCACACAACCCAAATTTTACAAATGCCGGCGCCCCATTTTGACGCGCACCCCACGTCCACATGGACCCCTTCGCGCGCTTGGCAATGGCCCGATGGAAGACCGACTGTCGTCTCGTTTGGGATATTGCCCATCATCAACCATTATCAGTCCTATTTGCCAAGCGCGACGGATGTGAAGCTGTGCCGAGTCGAGACGAAAGGTTGGATCAGCCACCGCTTACTTACACCTACAGAGATAGAGTAGCATCCACGCCATCCAACCCATCATCAGGTCTCATACAACTTGTTTCTTATCCGTCAGGCCGAGCCGGGCTCTCAGACTTCCCGTCTCGACTCCCTCCGGCAAATCATGCTATAATGAACAACATCGGATCCGGTCAGCGGCCGGGATCATCGATGCTAGACACAAGCTGGGTCTCAGGCACGCCGCACCGCACCAAGTTGCTCGAGTCGACTCGACTCAACCGCGATTGACTTAGCCTACCTTTCCGCTCCCGCCGTCGTCCTCGCCCCCATACAGATACACACGGTTGTTGCCCACGGTGAACCTTGTTCCCGTTCAGGTCCTCCCGCTTCCCGCTTCCCGCGAGGCGGACGCTAAGGCCACGTCCCCCCATCACGAACCCACAAAGGCTCAACCCTCAGCTGCCTCATCCTTGGCAACGTCTTCTATTTCTGAATCGGCTGGGTGGCACAGGGACCGCTGTCCCATGTCAACGTTTATTCTTTCCTTACCCGCTTCTACACGGGCTGCATTGCGCGGGCTGTCATAGGAAGCATATTAAAGCGAGTCGAGCCCAGACTTTGACCAAGATTTCCCTTTCGCCCATCATCAGAGCGTCTGTTGTCGTTCTATGCTTTTATCGCCCGTTTCTTCCTTCCTGTTTTTTCCTTTCTCTTCGTTTCCACTCCTTTTGATTTTTCCTTGCTCTCAAACCTACGACAGCCGGGGCCAGATCAGCATTTTCGTCTGTTCTCTTACTGAAGCTGCGGGACAGCTTCTCATGTCCCCTTGTTCTCAGTTGCCTTCGCTTTACGAATGAGTCCTTGTCAGTAGGCGGTCCCGGATTATTTGGCTGCCTTTTACCTTCTCGAACCCTCTTTATCTTTTATATCAGGATTGCCAATCAAGCAGCAATCCTTTTTTGCGCGACAAATACCGGTTTTTTTTAATCAAGATGGACGGAATGAAAGAGCCCAAGCCCCAGTGTGGCGCCAAGAAGGGTGGTCAACCGGCCGAGTATGATGTTGGCCTTCACGTTGCTGGTCTTTGTAAGTTGGCCCCAAAACACTTTCCACTAGTCTCTATCAATTTTGGCTAACTTGGCTCAGTTTTGGTCTTGGCCTTTTCGATCTTTGGTATGCGATATGAACAAAAGAAACGAGTCCTTTCGCGGGTCAACGTACTAATAAGACCGTTTCAGGCGCTGGTTTCCCCGTTGTGGCCAAGAAGGTCAAGTGGATGAAGGTTCCACCCAAGGTCTTCTTCGCATGCAAGCATTTCGGTACAGGCGTGCTCATCGCGACGGCGTTTGTGCATGTAAGTTGCTTTGGTTCATCTAGATGCACAGATCTAACACAGCACAGTTGCTTCCCACCGCCTTTGGCAACCTCATGAACCCGTGCCTTCCGGATCTCTTCACCGACGACTACCCACCTCTTCCAGGTGCTATCATGATGGGATCCATGTTCATTCTGTTCAGTATCGAGATGTGGATCAACGCCAAGATTGGCGGCCACTCCCACGGAGGACCTACCGGTGATGTGATGCACGACCACGGTCACGGAGCTGTCCAGCCTGCCCGGCCTCCTCGTTATGGCCGCAACAGTTTCGATGCCGAGGCGGACAGCATTGACTTTGAGAAGCGAGTCGCCCAGCGCGCATACAACGACGAGAAGTCACGCTTCCCTGCGCCTTACTCGGAGACTGTCTATGGAGCGCCACCACCCGCCAACACCAACTTGTCCGACTCTGACATGCCGCCTTGGTTCGTCGTTTTCTACGAGCAGTATGTGCGTCAGCGTATGGAGATGATGAACATGATCCGAACCACCCAGGAGAAGCAGACGTCGTCTCAGGTTGCTGTTACGGAAGTCAAGCAGGAAGATCCGTTTTATGATGCAGAGGGCCAACAGGTTGACCCCGCTGTGTATCGCAAGATGTCTCTCAACATTACCATGCTTGAAGGTGGTATCCTGTTCCACTCAGTGTTTGTCGGCATGACCATCTCCATCACTATTGATGGTTTCATCATTCTGCTCGTCGCTATTCTGTTCCACCAAATGTTTGAGGGTCTTGGTCTTGGTTCCCGTATTGCCGCTGTGCCATACCCCAAGGGCAGCATTCGTCCCTGGGTATTAGTCGTCGCTTTCGGCACCACAGCCCCCATCGGACAGGCCATTGGACTCCTCACCCGCAGCACCTACGATCCCGAAAGTGCATTCGGTCTCATCATCGTCGGTGTATTCAACGCCATGTGAGTTGCTCATTCCGTCCGTGACAGACCTCGGCTAATGCAATCTAGTTCATCTGGTCTGCTGCTCTACGCTGCCCTCGTCGATCTTTTGGCCGAAGATTTTCTCTCCGAGGAGGCCAACCGCCTTCTTTCCAATAAGCAAAAGATTTCTGCTTTCTGCTACGTTCTCGCCGGAGGTTAGTAAAGTCCACGAAACATCTGCACATGTGAACACATAGCTGACATATTACCAGCTGCGGGCATGTCAATTGTCGGTATCTTCGCCTAAGCCTTTACCGATACTCCCAGGAAGCAAACTTCCTCCACACACCCCTCGATCAGTCTCACGCGAGGGTACACAACACCCAGTCCAGTCCAGTCACACGCCCAGTTTATACGGCTCGCCGGAACGCCGAGGCTCACTTCAGCCGATGAACTCCGAACTCGACAGGACTATGATAGCAGAGATGAACGCTCGTTATCTTTTAAATGCTGCGCCGGATTTTGTCTCACGGGTCGTGAGGAGACGGACTATTTCTCACTATCAACAGCAACTCTCACAAAATCTACCACATTCGTTTTCTTCTTGCTATCGCTATTCCCAGCATCATTTGTAGCCAGGGATTTTGTACAATAGTAGTGATGTGGCGTGCGTTGTCAAGACTTGTCTGACACGCAAGACACAGCGAGTGCACACTGGCAACAGGCAACATTGTTTGGGAGATTTACTTTTTCTGGGAAACTCTACATGAGCATTACAAAGGTGTTAAAACTAATGATAAATTATGGGCATACAAAATATCACGAGTCTTATGAGAAAGACGTGGAGGGCACTTGTACGATAGGGCTGCCCGAAAGGGTCGGGCATTACATTACTAGACTGCATCAAATATCACGATATCCTTATCCAATTGTTCTTGAAAATGTTGTGCCTCGTGTCTGTCATATTTGCCCTCCAACCCTCGATGACCCAGATATGGATTTCTAAGCGATCATACATGACTTACGGACCCATCAAAGTCCGTCTCCGATCATACCACGAGAGCAATCCGCAGCGAACTTCTGTGAGAACGGGAAAGTCGAGAGGAGAGGAAGCGATGCAGACAAAAGGGGATTAAGTAGCCGAAGAAGGGCCCTCGATTAGACTTTCTTCCCCAGACTTATTGGCGTCTGAAATAGAGTGGTAACGGTAACAGTTTGCCTTGGTAGCACTTGAGAGGGCGACCGAGAGAGAGGAAGAGAGAAACGGGAAAGAAAAGACAAGATGCCAAGCAGCTTCACAATAGAAGCAGATAGCGGAAACGAAAGAGACCGGGCAAGATCAAGAGAAGTACCAAGAGACCAAGAGAATACCGAGAGAAAGACGAAGAGACGAAAGACGACGTTGAGAAAGGGTTGCCGAAGTTTAGTGTATGTGCCAGGTATGACCCATGATGGCAACCATGTTTTGCATGGCGGTGTAGGACGTCAGGCTGCTAGACACGGCTGACCTTGGAAACAAAACCAGCCTTGCTTTTTTTTTTCTTTTTTTCGTCTTCCCTCTTTGCATGTAGGTTCATTGTTTCACGCCCCTTTCTCTCATTTCCTGTTTCTCTGTGTCTTTGGACCTTGGACGTGACTTGCCGCCGCCTGTCCCTGCACATCGACAACGTCAAAGAGGGGAGAGGGGGGAAGGGACCTAGGGTGTTATGTTTTAACCATGTTCTATATAAGGTTATTACACGGGCCGGAGGATTACTGCATTGTTGAAGGGTAAGGCAAGGGCTGGGGGAGAAGGGAAGGAAAGGGGAAAAGCGTGTGTTTGTGTGTGCATTCCCGTAGGTTGTGAGGGTTGTGATGCATGCATGCAGGGCCGGGCTTCCCGCGCGACTACTGCAAGGGGCATGCTTCACAGTCCACGGGATCGTTGATGATTTTTCTTCTGGTGTTGGGTGTTGGCTGCTGCTGCTGTGGATGGTGTTGCAAGGCAAGGTGCAAGGCAAGGCAATCAGGGTAGGCAGGCATCCTAGACATGGGAGGGTTGTCGAGGAGGCTGAGGTAGCGGGGGTGGGGGAGGGGGGGGGGATGGTGTCACTGGTGAAGCTATTAATATGAACCCCAGACAGACATCTGAGGCGGCGGAGGGGAGGATGGTGCAGGGAAGGGAGGAGGCTCAAAACTCCAGACGAAAAGAAGGAGGTGTAGTGTAGGGCAGGGGGGAGTGAGCACGGAGAGTTGGGTTACATGCGGACGGATGAATGGGGGAAGGGGGGGGGGACATTGGTTGGGTTTGAGGTTTGGCTGCGCTGCTGCAGACTGCACTGCGGAACTATGCGGCGCACTAGGAAATGAGCGAGCGCTTGTTAGGTAAGATAAAGTCGCGATGACGATGTGTGGTGGTTGTGGTTGTGGTTCTAGAAGTTTTGAATCGATGTTTCTTGTTGTCTCTTCTCATGCACGCTTTGCTTTTTGCCTCGAGGTATGGCTGCAAATCTTGCCTTACAGCAGTAGCTTACCTTAGGTGCATACCTGCATACCTGCAGCGAGGCACAGACTACTGTAGGTACTCGCCGGCGGCCGAATACACCGCGGCTTGAACCTTTTTGATCCTTTATGGAAAAAAATGAAAACGTCCCGAGAGACGTTATGTAAAGAAGGTATGTGTGCAGTAGTCTCGTGATGAGAAGTCGAGAAAAGTTTCCCGACGATCTGGGGATACCTAACTTTACAGAGGGCTGTGTAAGAAAGGATAAAAAGAGGAGGGGGAAACGTGAGATTGGCTTTGCTTGGCAGGCGTCACTTTTTTTTGGTTTTCCTACGGAAAAAGAGATCTAATCTTGTACGAGTGTCCGATTCTGAGGTTAACCTCATGGAAGATGAAAAGCTTATGAGATGCTTTTTTGGACTTGTTTGGAAGGATGAAGCGGGAATCCGGAGTTTGCCAAGGATTCAACTGTCTTTTAGCATGGTCACAATACGCATCGTGCACAACTCTCTCTCTTCCCACCCACATTAGATGTAGAACAGGGCGAGCGAAACGTTTCCGTCTATGAGAAAAGATGGAGAACAAGTCAAGAAGTGAAGAAAAAAAGACGGAAATAATGGGAAAAGCCGATTACTGACCAAGACAGTGCATCTATCCTACATCCGTTATTCGGTTTCCTTCGGGCGGTTTGAGGGCTGTCTGCGGTATGACTATGACCTCCTAGGACACCCCCGCCCCCGCTTCCCTTTGTGCCAGGATCGAGGTTCGAAGGTTTCGAGTCGAGCGCACCAGAGAGGAAGAAACAAAAGATGGGCAACTCGTCACGAGGGAAAGGTATGTAGCTGAAGGGTGTGTGTATCAGAGAACGATGGTGAAATGGGTGGGTTGGTGGGCACTTGCTTTACAAATACAAAATGTCTTGGCACATGTATGATAATCGCCCGATGAGCACGGAAACCGTTCGCAACGACATATTACCTGCACAACATATAAGACAATGATTCCAAAGAAGCAAAAGTTGACGACAAATACATTTCGAGCAAAAAGGGGGTTGCATTTCATGTAGTGCCAAAAGATAAAATGTCATGCGGCTTACGACGACCAAGTCGTGCCGGATGCAACGGTATAGTACCTTAGTTACTGCGGTATATGGCTGGCCCTCTGAAAGGAAGATTTTCATCCGGTGTTCGAGCCAGAGATCCAGCCAACCCGCCGTCCAAGCAGAAGACTCAGTCTGGCACTGCTGGTAGCATAGAGATCGGGGGCCACAGAGGTTGGTGTGTGGCAGTGATGGTGTGGTGTGATGATGTGCTGATTTGACGGGCATCTGACAAGACGAGAAACCTGGGCAGATGGACGCCTGCTACCTGTTGCCCTGCACCGACCACCAGCCACTTACCAGAGGAAAGGGGGGTGTGAGAAACGAAACAGAAACTCGAACCGGGAGGTCGAGAGGCCGCATGGACGTTGTAAAGCAGTCCAAGTACATGGAGGAGAAGAAAGTTTGCCTGCGGGAGGACGTTGTATTCCGTCATTTTTTTCTTCGGAGGTGTGTGCGAGTGTGCGCGAGTTAGTGTGTGTGGCAATTTCAGGCAAGACCTGCCTGAAGGGGCCTTTCGGTATTTCCTTCTTCGTCTTCTTCTTTTCTTAGCAAAGACAAAAGACAGAACAGAATTTTCAGATGAAGAGGCGGGGCTGGAGGTTTTTGCGATGAGATTTCCGAATCTGGTAGACAGGCAACCAGTCGGCAAACATACCTTTCTTCTAAAATAGCTTTGTGTGTTGTGCTGCCCATGGGAAAAGATTGCCGAAGGTCTTGTAAAGTTTAAGTTGAGAGGCAGAGAAGTGTTCAAAGGTCATACGTCTTTCGTCGGCAGGTGCGGAAGTTCGTACATTTGCCTCATTCGGGTAGTATAGTCACCCCCCCTTTGAGATAGTAAGCAAGTCGAGACCAAATGGCTCGAAAGCGAGAGACGATGGCTGAGGCTTCTCTGATCACAGAGATGCTGATACAGGCTCCGTATCTTTTCTATACCTACTTTAGGTGATCGCGCAATGGATGGGAGTTGGCTAAGTAGCTCACAGAGCTAGATGACTTACCCTCCGAAGCTTTCTGCTCCGTCTTGTCAAAGTTTCCCCTGAAATTCGAGTAAACGACTTTGCAGACGGAAGGTTTAAATGACTTTGACGTATGATAATGTGGCCAAGGGAGAAAAGTGAGGGGCACTACACTTCAAGACTATCAGGACTGAGTTTTCAACATCAACTTTGAGAAAGACAATTTCTTTGCGCTCGTTCATCTGCCTCAGCCTATAGTGCTATTGCCTTCTAAGCATGGCACAGAACTAACCCAGGTGAGATTAATCTGCTCTAACCATGTTCTTCAACCAAACGCCTCGGGGAGCATCACCGATACTGACGGGAAAGCAAGAGGTAGGCAGACCGTTCATAAGCTTCAACTGTAATCTCAGTAACGCTCTCCTTGGAATCAACTCTACTCGTCACATAGATTGGTGCTTTGTCAAGTGTTTTCTCAGCGAGTAAACTAGCTTACTATTGTTCGCCGACGTGGTAGGCTAGTCAGTTCATCAAACTTGTCATTGAGTAACCCCTTATGTCATCTTTTCATTCAACCATTACACAATATGTACAGAGAAAGCGGCCAAAGGTGGCCTAGGTCATCGACTGCCTTCAAGAAACCTGACCCTAGAATGTCCTCGGGACCTGCAAAAGACAAGCCCCTTAAACAACCGTCACAGTCGCATTCCCGCGGAAATCATCACTCGAAGACCCGACAAAGACGGTGAAATCGCCCGGCTCAACGACGTACTGCAGCTTCTTGTCCCACAGACCCCACGAGGAGACGGGCAGGTCAATCGAGACGTCGGCGGTCTCGCCGGCCTTGATGAAGACCTTGGAGAAGCCGCGCAGCTCCTTGTTGGGCACGACGATGGAGGAGATCATGTCCTTGACGTAGACCTGCACGACCTCGGCGCCGTCGCGGGTCGAGTTGTTGGTCACCTGCACGCTGAGGGTGACGGTGTCGGTCGGGGAGACGGTGGAGGAGGAGACGGAGATGTCGTGGTAGTCGAAGGTGCTGTAGGAGAGACCGTAGCCGAACTACAGTTTGGAGGTTTTGTTAGAGAATAGTATCATGAAGAAGGAGGAGGGTTTGATTGCTTACCTCGTACAAGGGCAGGGGAGTCGACAAGACGTAGTTGCTGCCGAAGACCAAGGTCCCATTGGCATACTCCTTACCCGGGTTGGGCCAGGAGCGGGCTGAGTTGAGGTAATCGTAGTAGACAGGCGTGGTACCGACATCGTGCGGGAACGCGACGGAAAGCTTGCCAGACGGGTTCACATTTCCGTACAGGATGTCCGCCAGCGCGTGACCGCCCTCCTCGCCCTGGTAAAACATCTGCACCAGCGCGCCAGCCTCGTCCGAGATCCAGGGCTCGGTAATAGGCTTTCCGGAGCTGAAGACGACGACGGTGGGCTTGCCCGTATCAATGACGGCTTTGACGAGGCGGCCCATGGCGCCGACGAGCTTGAAGTCGTGGACGTCAATGTGCTCGCCCGTGGTGGCGTTGAGACCGGCCCAGAGCTCGTCCTGGTCGCGGGACCAGGTGCCCACGACGACGACGGCGACGTCGGCGGCCGAGGCGACGGCGACGGCCTCGGGGAAGCCGGACTCGTCGTTGGACCAGCGCTCGGCGCCCTTTGCGTAGGTTACTGTTCCCGAGCTGGCGGCCTTGATGCCGTCGAGCGGGGTGACGCCGCGTTCCATTGCTGTGTGGATGACGTAGTCGCCGTACTGTGTGATATATCGTTAGCATGGGGAAGGCCTTGTCATATGAAGCTGTACAAAAACTTACGTTGACCAATCCGTGGGCCATGGGGCCGATGACGGCGACGTGGGCGTCCTTCTTCAGGGGGAGGGTCTCGTTGTGGTTCTCGAGCAGGATGATGCTCTCGGCGTCGAGGTCGCGAGCGATCTTGCGGTGCTCTTCGGTGTTGAGGTAGTCAAAGACCTCGTCATCGGGGACGCCAGTGTACGGGTGCTCGAAGATGCCCGACTTGAACTTTGCGCGGAGGACGCGGGAGACGGCCGTGTCGACGACGTCCTCGGGCAGAGTGCCGTTGGCGATGAGCTCGGGGATGTACTGGAAGCTGTAACGGCCGCCGCCCATCTCGACATCGTTACCGGCGGGGAGGGACTAAAAGTCTGGTGAGCAGGGTGTTGTACTAAGGAACTTGAGAGAGCTACGTACGTTGAGGGTGATGCAAGCATCATCGGTCTCTCCACAGACAAAGAAGGCGTTGGAAAGACGAGCGGTGCCGCCGGCATCGGACTGGATCTGTTAGTTGAATTCGATGTCCGGTGTAAGATCAATAACTTACAATAACGTAGTACTCATAACCCCACTCCTCGCGCAAGATCTCGGTCAGCAGGTGGTGGTCCGCGACAGTGGGGACGCCGTCGTAGGCGTTGTACGAAGACATGATGCTCCAGGCATCGGCATCAAAGATGGCGCGCTTGAAGGCGGGGAGGTAGGTGGTGCGAAGCTCTCTGGGACCGCCGTGAACAGGAGCCGTGTTGACACCCTGCTCGGGGGAAGCAAAGGCGGCAAAGTGCTTGACCATGGCGCAGACGCCGTTCTCCTGGAGACCCTTGGTGTAGTGGTAGCCGTACTCGCCGACCCTTTACCGAGTTAGTATATGACTTGGTGAGGTCTGTTGGAGGTACATCATACAGGAAAGGGTCCTCGCCGTAGGTCTCTTCGACACGGCCGAATCTCAGCTCACGAGCCAAGTCAACCACGGGGGCGAAGATCTGGTTGACGCCGAGAGCCTTGGACTCGACAGCGATGACCTTGGCCATCTTCTCTACCAACTCCGGGTTCCACGAGCAGCCGTGAGCAATGGGCGAGTTGAAGATGGTGGCATTGAGGGCGAGGAAGCCGTGGATACCCTCGCTCTGGATAAAAGCCGGAATGCCTAGAAGGTAGGTCTCAGCATCACAGTTCTACTTGGACCCAATCGAATCAAAGAAGGGATCTCACCCAAAGTGGTGTTGTTCACCAGGTAGTCCTGAGCGACCTTTGCTCCGTAGGAAATGGTGGACACGTTGGAGTAGAGGCCGGTCCAGATGGAGTTGGCTCTGTTCTCGGCAGCCCAGGTCAGGCCGCTCTGGTTGAAGCGACCATCGGTCAGGTTGAGGTAGTCACGAATGTCGGCTTGGAGCAGTTGGGCCGTCTTCTCCTGGATGGTCATGCGCTTCAACAGGTCAGAGACTCTGTCGTCAATGGGGGCATTCGGGTTCTTGTAGAGGGGCGAAGTGCCATTGGGGTATGTGCCGTTCTGGGCGGAGACGGCCGCGACCAGCAGCGAGGCGAAAGTCAGAGAGAACTTCATGATGTTCCGCGATCCGGGGTTCCGAGTCAATGGAACACTGGCTGGGGTGACGTTCGGCTAGAGATCCAGAGCTCAAAGGAAGAAAGGGACACGATCCTGGAGACGAAGGCGAGCTGTTGCTGGGTATTAATACAGCTTCTTACAGCTCATCTCTGGGCCTTTCTCTCTTTGCAGGCAGACTGCAGCTTCGTTTGGGAGCCGACATCGAGTAACCTGATTAGTGACATGATGCCCACGGCCAAGGAGCCGAAGTGAAATAGACGTAATTGCAATGGGGCAAAGGGCCGGTGAGGAGAGAGCAGCCTTCTCCGCATCAATTATTTTTTATCCGTATTGTACAAAGAAGGGAAAGAAAAAAAGGGTGCCCCGAGTACCCCTAGTCCATCCCCGAAAGGCAAAAGTGAGGAGCGATGTAATGCTAATTTGCGCTCTCGCAGCGGTCTTGTCCGACATTCATTGGGCAGAAGTTTAGAAGAATGGGAGAACCCTGGGCAGTTCCTGCACATGGCCTCGCAGGGAGTGGCGGTGTTGGGACCAAGAGGAAGCGGACTGACGAAAGACAAGAGCTATGAGATGTGGGATAGCTAATTGGGATGGTCAATGTCCTGGTTTGTTGTATGAAGCTGCTCGTGATGGCATGAGGGGAAGTCAGGAAACTGTTGGAGATGGGAAAGTTGGAGAAGTTGTGTGTCTCTCTTTCACACAGCAGGACTGGACTCAATGGACGACGGGAGGTTGCTTCTGCCGAACCGACCGGGGGTTCCACTTGTTTGTGGAGGGGAAGGAGGAGTGGACAGGGGGAAGGAGGCATGTGGGGAAGACGACAAGCGACCTGGTGCAAAAGGTACGTACTCCGTAGTGCGTACTCCGCAAGGCAACGGCCAGCCGGGTGCTTGGCGAGTGGATCCCGACCCGTCCGGTTTCCACCAATAAAGTTGATCACGGCCCCAGCTGATCCGGACGCCGAGAACCGCCCAAATCCGACCAGTCCGGTTGAAGAACGACAACAGCACTAACACGTACGGCCCCGGGGGAGGACGGCAGGAAACCCCAAGAAAACCCCACACCAACTGCCCAGCACGGAATGGGACAAAATCACCTTATCCATTCATCAGATCAATGGCCCCAGATCTCCGCAAAGTCACGAGTCTCTGCCACATTCTGCGGCAATAGTGTACTGGTTCTTCCCCTTCTCCTACAGGCTACAGGCTGCCCTCATCATCCCGCTCCAGCCCACTTCGGATCCTGCGCCACCGGGCCGCACCCCGGGACCAATCGGTGGACGTCAATGGCTAAACATGAATCAGCGGCCTCGTCCCCGAGGCTCGCTCCATTGCGGAGTACCGGCGGGATTGCAATGATGGGATTCGCTCAATATCTCCCCGACAGCGGGACTCTGCCGTGCTGCGTGTGAGCCCTCTCTTCAAGACGACCCCTCCGATTAGTCCTCCGCACGCCTCGTGCTCCAAGGAATTTTATCGTACAAGAGACGAGATTCACTTCAGTCTTGAGCCGCTTCTCCCAGCTGAATTGTGTTCCTCTCGACTCATCACGACCGTCCTCTCTCTGTTTCGTCGTTCTTTTTGTTAGTGTGTGTGAGAGATACCCCCCCCCCCCTTCCAAGGAAATCATCATGGTCCGTCTTCGCGATGGCATGTGGCTGCCCGCCGAGGGCACGGCGACAGAGTACGCAGAGGAAGTTTACTACACCACTGAGATTGAGGGTGGAAAGGGCCTCAGCTTGCTGTGCCCGACGAGGAAAATCAAGACGCGAGGTCACACGTTGAATGCAAGCACAGTCACTCTTGTAAGTCAAGGACTCTTACCCTCACTTTCACTCTTCACCATGAAATGCCATTGCTCACACACAGAAACAGGACGTCAAGGCCGAATTCGACGGCGTCATCTCAGTCGAGGCAACGCACTGGGCCGGCGCCCTCAACAAGGGCCCCCATTTTGAGCTCTTCCCCGACGGCAGACCACCAGACGCCGAGACAAAAGTCACAAAGGGCGACAAGGGCACGACGACTTTGACCTCGGGCTCGCTGTCCGCGACCATCCACCCAGACTTTGACATACAGTTCCACAGCACCGACGGCGCCAAGCGGCTGACGTCGCTGGGCAGCCGAAGCGTCGGCCTCGCCTACAACCCCGCGCCAAGCACCCCGATGCAGACAGGCGACATGCGCGACTTCAAGCACTACATGTTCACCCAGACCACCCTCGGCGTCGGCGAGACCATCCACGGCCTCGGCGAGCGCTTCGGCGCCTACAATAAAGTCGGCCAGTCCATCTCCCTCTGGAACGCCGACGGCGGCACCTCGAGCGAGCAGGCCTACAAGAACGTCTCCTTCTGGCTCAGCTCCAAAGGCTACGGCGTCTTTATCGACACGCCCGGGCGAGTGGAGCTCGAGGTCGGCAGCGAGCGCTGCAACCGCCTGCAGACTGTCGTCGAGGGCCAGCGGCTCAAGTGGTACCTCATCTACGGGCCCACCCCGAAAGACATCCTCAAGCGCTACACCACGCTTACGGGCCGCGCCGGCAAGGTCCCCAGCTGGAGTTTCGGCCTGTGGCTGACGACGAGCTTCACGACAAACTACGACGAGGAGACGGTCAACACGTTCCTCGAAGGCATGAAGGCCCGCGGCTCGCCCGTCGACGTGTTCCACTACGACTGCTTCTGGATGAAGGCCTTCACCTGGACCGACTTTGTCTTTGACTCGGAGCGTTTCCCGGACCCGAAGGCGCAAATCGCCCGCTTGAAAGAATCAGGGCTGTGCAAAAAGGTCTGCGTGTGGATCAACCCCTACATCGCGCAGCACGGCGAGGCATTCAAAGAAGCCGCGGACAAGGGCTACCTCGTCAAGCGCAAGAACGGCGACGTCTGGCAGTGGGACCTGTGGCAGGCCGGCATGGGCCTCGTGGACTTCACCAACCCGGACGCCTGCGCGTGGTACGAGGAGAAGCTCAACACCCTGTTCGACCAGGGCGTCGACGCCATCAAGACGGATTTTGGCGAGCGCATCCCGACCCTGGACGTCGAGTGGCACGACAAGACGATCGACCCGGTCAAGATGCACAACTACTACGCCTTCTCCTACAACAAGGTCGTCTACGAGGCCCTCCAAAAGCGCTACGGCGCCGACGAGGCCGTCCTCTTCGCGCGCGCCGCGTGCGCCGGCACCCAGCGGTTCCCGCTCCAGTGGGGCGGCGACTGCGAGTCCACGCCCGAGGCCATGGCGGAGTCGGTGCGCGGCGGGCTTGGGCTCGGTCTCAGCGGCTTCTCATTCTGGAGCTGCGATATCGGCGGGTTCGAGGGGTACCCGCCGCCGTGGATCTACAAGCGGTGGGTGGCCATGGGTCTGCTGTGCAGCCACAGCCGGCTGCACGGGAGCAGCTCGTACCGCGTGCCCTGGGTGATTGACGATGATGATAAGTCCGAGGAAGGGTGCTCGCAGACGCTGGCGACGTGGACGAAGCTCAAGGCGAGGTTGATGCCGTATATCTATGCGCAGGCGCAGACGGCGGTGGAGAGGGGGTTGCCGCTCTCGCTTAGGGCCATGTGCATCGAGTTCCCCGAGGACCCGACGTCGTGGTACCTCGACCGGCAGTTCATGGTCGGCGACAGCCTGCTTGCGGCGCCCATCTTTGAGGAGTCGGGCGAGGTGGAGTTTTACCTGCCAAAGGGGAAGTGGACGTCGTTCTTCTCCGGGGAGCACCGCGAGGGACCGGGCTGGTTCAAGGAGACGCACGGGTTCGGGACGCTGCCGTTGTACGTGCGGGAGAACTCGATTCTCGTGCTGGGAGCTGAAACGGCCGTCGGCGCCGTGTATGACTATGTGAGGGACAATGAGGTGCGGCTGTACCAGGTCAAGGAGGGGGCGACGGCGACGCTGGTGGGGAGTGACGGTAAGGAGATTGGTGTTTTGGAGGTTGGAGCGGATGGGAAGCTCAAGGATACCGTCTTGTTGAATGGCAAGATCTCCATCAAGGAGCTCTGAGGGTGCTGTTGGATGGTGGTTATGATGATGACATGGTTATGGACTTTTGTTCCCGTTGTACGGCACGTCGTTGTTTTTTGATGAATTATATGAGGCTATCTTGCATATCGGATTAGATGGCTTAGAGCCGGACTTTTGTTTTCTACTTAGTTCAGGTCTATTTACGATTTACCAAGCAGTGTTACCATCATGACGAAGCCCCCTTCCATCTGCGTTCTTTCACCGATGGGTGTCCGGCCCGTCCCAGCGGATGGAACCAGCCAACCAAGACTTGGCGGATAGTCGGGCATTCCCCCACTCGCAAGATCCCAAGCCATGGATTGAAGCTAACTGATACCCCGCGTCGCTTACAATGTGCCTTGGAAGTAGTGGAAAGCCTCTCCTGAGTCAAGGTACACCAGAACATCACCGCAAGCCAGCAATTCACCACCCTTCAAGTACCGGAAATCCCCTCATTCTCCAAACTTTCTTGACGCAATCTCCAACTTACGATACCCCATTGTTAGCAATACTCAGATAATTCGATTGTAGTCTAGGCTAGGGAGTCCGGGAAACTGACCAGGGGGCTCACCCCAGCCGGCTACATATTTCCCCGCGAACCACAGATCATCTCATCTCCACACTTCCTCTCCCCTCCCCCGCACATCTCGGCCCCAGATTCCCTGATTGTATGGCCACTCATAGATCTCCAAGGCCGCCGCTACGGAAACCACAAACGGTGGCCGTTTCTTGGTGCAAGAAAAGCACGTGTTCGAACTTTGAAATAATTGACCACGAGATCATCAGAGAAAACTTGATGTCTCCCTACGGGTTTAGCTCAAAGCCTCACTAAGTCCCAAGAGAGGGGCAAACAAGTGGAATCGCCAAGCTGTGTGATTATATGATGCAACCCGTTGGCCTTGTCCCCCCTATATCTCGCAGAGTTACATCTATTGTACGCATAAAAGCAATCTATCTCGCTGTACAGAAAGCTGAACCTGCAGGAACCTGGCAGAACCCCTTAATCTAAATCTTTCCGCACAGGGCACAAGACATGAGATGAACCTTTCATGGGGCTCTTCTGTCTGGCTAATCGAAAGTTCAAAGCTGTACGGATGGAAGGTAGGTAAATGACACAAGAGTCCCGGGTATTTGCTCATAACCCCGGGTATCTTCGCTAGAATTCTGAGCAGGATAGCTTGATTCAACAAGGGATGACCCCTCAAAGCCCATCTCTATCCCTCGGTTTCGTGAGCCGAACGGGACCTTCCGTCGTCTTATATCCATTTCCCCATTCTCTGCGGTGCCCCCCCCTGATCGCTCGACTACCTAGATTGTGTGAACTCAACCAGACAGACCTCTCTGAATTTTTCGTCTACTGTAATCAAAACAGTTCCGGTCCATTAAATCTTTCCTGGATGCTGTGAATTGTGGCATGCATTGGATGCGAAAGCACACAAAGATATTCGGCCTCGGAGAAGGAAAACGGAAAAGAATGATTCACACAGACTTCTCCCTCGAGATCAGGTTCGACTGTCTCAGTTTCCCCAGATCGGCATCACGCTACCTACTGAGAAGGATCTAGAATGATCTCGCTCAACAATGACCCGCGATCTCGGGCTGTAGTCCCCCATCAACCCAGACCCACGATCTCGGGCTGTGCCTCTGCGATGTGACTGTAAGCCTTCATCCTACAGAGACACCGTAACACCCCTCCCGTCACCAGACCCACGCCTCTAAAGGTCGTTTGGTAAAGGTTTATGTCTCATTACGGCTCCGTGACGGCGTAAAATGCCCACTATTCATTCATGACGAGCCTTTATATGCACTCTCGGGTATGAACTCTTCATTACCCATACTAAGTACCTAACAGCAGCTCATCCCACCTAGATACATACTAATCCGGCGGTGATCCAGGAACCCCCAAATCCAAAGGGTATACCGCATGTTAAGCCTACCATAGGCACATGTGCGCATCGCAGGGAATCTTCAATTCAAATCAGTCCACTAGGGAAACCCATCGTTAGCTCGTCTTCCAATAAACATCATCTTCATAAACTCAAGTCACACTACTCACGTTTTCTGGGGCGGTCGTAAGTTCCTCATAAGACTGCAAAATCTCAAACCCCATCGCCATGACATGTTCGTAAGCGTCGTCTTGCACCTGCGCACATGAGATCGTCAGTGAAGTCCCAACACGCACAAGATAAGATTAGATGGTGAGGAGTGTGATAAAAGCTTACCCAGCTAAGCACCGTCTTGGCCGACTTGTGCGCCTTATTCTGCCGGACGCCCATCAAAGTAAGCCCCTGAAGGACCAGCGTATCCTGCGGCCCGGGATGAATCACCGGCGCCAAAACGCCCCCGATCCCCTCGTCGACGGCAGAAAGCAAGGGCGGGATATACGTCGCCAGCGGACTCCCCGGCCGACAGATAATAATCGTCCCCAGCAGCGCGTCGCCCGCGCCCTTTGCCCTCACGATGCCGCACGCCTTGGTCTCCTGCAGCGCGGACCTATACAGCTCCAGCACCTCGGGGTTCGCGTTGGCGGCCACGTGGCCCAGCACGCTCTCGGCGTTGTCGAGGCCGTGGATGAGGTCGAAGCTGAGGTTGGCGCGCTGAATGCTTTGCAGCAGGCCCTCGGGGATCGCCCAGCCGCTCAGGTCGTGGATGGCGAGGTTCGTGAGGCGCTTCGGGAACTGCACGTCCCAGCCGTTATTGGCGAACCAGCTCTTGACGCCGCCGCCCTCATCGATGGGGATGCCGAGGAAGACGCCCGGGAATGAAGTGCCCAGCTGGATCTTCTTCACGACCCGCTGCTTGTTGTTGTTCGTATTGTTGGTCAGGAGGTGCCGCAGTGCGCGCCTGTGGAGGGACCGGCCGACGGAGACGTTACGCTTGGTGGGGTCCACGAAGATGGCGCCGAGGATGCCGATGCCATCTACGAAATACGTCGCAGCGAAGCCGTACAGGGCGTGCGTGCTGCTGTTGCGTACGACAAAGTGCGCCTCCTCGACGTTTGGCTTGGAGAGCTCGAAGCACGCGGCCGGCATCGACTCCAGATGGCCCAGGTCGACGGTGTTGGCGCGGGCGACGGCCTTTGCGAGCTCCTCGAGGCCGTGGGCGTCGCGGCGCCGGTCGTACTCCTCCACGATCCAGTGCTGGCGAGATTTGAGCACCTTTTTGCTCTTTCGTAGTGTTCCCGGAAGCGTTCCCTTTGGTACAATGTGCCCGCAAAGAGCGCGTACTAACGCGTGCATCGCAGTTTCCGTAAAGTCAAAGGTGCAGATGTATGTACCGATTGACTTGTCCATGGCGAAGTCGTACGGAGAGCTTACGGCCACGACGATGACGGATTTCTTCTGACCGCGGGTTCGTAGCATGGAACACATCATCTCGACGTGTTTGGTGAAGCCGGCTTGGTACAGGTTTCTGTTGGCATCCGCAGTGATGATGATGATGCAGGATGCTCTGTGAATGAGGTTTTCATGGACTTGATATCAATGGAGTTAGCCTGCCCACATCATTCGGCGTCTTGAGGTGTGACATACCTGGCCTGACTCCATTCGCAGTGTAGCTGGTATGGAGGAGCTTTCCGTGACGGGACCGAGCTAGAGAGCGTCCAAATTCCCTAAAGACACCCTCCCCGCTCATGATGGCACCCTTTTCGCGGTGTAGCCAAGTGTCGTGTGGTGTGGGAGCAAGCCTCTGGGCATCCTTCGCTTGAAGGATACTCTTGGTCAAGCTTGACGCCGGCAGTGGTTTCACTAACGGTGTGAGAAGGAGCAGCTCTTCTTCTTGGTGCATCGATTCGGATAGGGGTAGTAACTTTTCCTTGTCTCGAATGACTGTGATGGAGTCGTCGTACGATTTCCTCGCTAAAGCCATATGTGAAGGATGCAACTTGGACAAGAGCGATATGCCTGGTGGATTGAGTGCTGTCTGCCAAGATGTGCAAGTGTCTTTGAGTCGTAGCACGCGATTCAGGGACGTGTAGATTCGCTCCTTGGTAAAGATGCCGTTCTCGACACCCAGCTTGAGCCCCTTGATAGCTTCAAGCTGGACGTCGTAGGCTCGGCAGAGGAGTACCAAGTCACATCCAGCTTCCACGGCCATGACGACTCCATTCTGTACACCGAGCTCGTGGGTCAGAGACTCCATTTCGAGGCATTCTGAAATGGCGACACCGTCAAAACCAAGTTCCTCTCGGAGAAGATCGTCCACAACCTGGTTGGATAGGCATGCATGGGAGACGTTCATGGAGGGATTGGAGATGCCACAGCCTCCCACGAACATGGCGTCGAGCTTGCCCGTTGCGATTGCGTTTCGAAAAGGCACCAGGGCACTCAGACTGAGCTCTTCCAGAGTTTGTGTGATGATGGGAACGTCCAAGCTGGAGCCCAAGAAGTCAAGGTTTCCATAGGAGGGGAAATGCTTCCCGCAACTTGCGAGACCAGCATCGCGAATGCCGTTGATGGCGGCGATGCCGTACTGAGAGACCTCCTGAGGGTCATCGCCAGTGGCACGTACTCCGATGGGTTGATACCTGGCATTCGAGAGGACATCCAATACCGGGCCGAGCATGAAGTTGATACCACAAGCGCCGACCTCGGTAGCAGTAGCTTTTGACACTTCGTAGGCTAATTCGACCCGGCCCGTGGCGGCGATGCCCATGGCACTGGGAAACTGGCACACGTAGTCCTCGTCGAAGAGACTGTTGACACCGCCATTCTCTTGGTCAAGAGCAATGAGCAGTGGCTTAGGGTGGCCGGCCTTGTGCGCGATAGTCTGGAGTTCCTTGACCAACTTTGCCGTTTCTTGAGCGGCTAATCCATGGCATCAGCACACAAATTCACGAGCTGTCGATATCAACAAAACTGATCAACAGCGCAAAGGGTACCGACATTTGAGGTTCTTGGCAGTCAAGATGATAGTCCCGAGATGATGATCCTCAATCAGAGAACGGATCTGGGGCGTCACCTCGGTGCCATCCCAGCCCATGATGAGCATCTGGCCAATGGCCCTATACGGCGCAACAGCGTAGGCATGTCAGCAAGGAACGAATCGGAAAGGAGCCAGGTGACTGGCGTCATTGTCCCCCCCTACTCCAAGATACGATGTCGTAAATGGAACAAGACGAAGAAACAAGACAAGGGGCGGTCTGAAGGGAAGGGGAATATACTGCGTAAGTTAGGGAACAGATGAACGTACCAATCGAGATCCTGCCATAGTGGGTCGAGCTCCTTGACTTGCCCCATAGCTAGTGGTCTGCGGCTCGTCACGTTTTGCCGCGCATAGTACCTCTCGAGATGGCGTGGTTTGAACGGGGGGAGGTGGTGTTGGCGTTGGCGGGTGTTGTTGTGGTGGTGGTGGCGGCGACCGTTCTCCGAGGTTGAAGTTGACTTTGAAGTTGACGTTGATTCCCGGTTGCTGGACGGATGTGACCCGGAGCCGTCGCGCGGGACGAAGTAGGAGAAGGAGGAGGAAGACGCGGGCTGGGAGTGGGACGCCATGTGCGGCGGGAGCGGTGGGCTGCTGCACCAGCCACGGCCGATAATCATTGGCTGGGGCGGAGAGCGGAAGAGGGGCGGGGAAGGAGTTTGATTGGCCGATAGGAGCCGTGTCCGCCTTTGCCCGCACTTTGCTCGACCGGGGGAGGAACGTTTCTTATCGCGATAAAGGGGTGGGGCGCTGTCTGTGCCCGGATCCACCCACTTTTTTTGGAGGTGGGACGTGTGTTTGGTGTGGGGCACGTACAGAAAGACCAAAGCTCCATTTCGAATGTTAGCGTCTCTCTCTCTGATCTTCGGCCTCGATAACGGAACGTTACATGGAGCCTCACCACGTCAAACCTTCTTTTCTTTCCTTGCGTTGCCCCGTCTAGACCGAGTCTGTCACTGTCTGTGTCTCTTTGGGCTCTCTCCGGCTCCCACACATGCAACGCTCGTTACTTTTGGGGATCTTCTTCTCCAAACGTGAATGTCAACGGCCCAAAGGTCCCCGTCCCTGACACAATGTGTGGGGCCCGGGTAGCTTCGTACCCCTCCGATTCTGGAACCTGGGAGGCAGATGGTGAGTGATGATGCGTTACAACTTGGTGCTTGGGTGCTTTGCAGTGAAACGAGACCTCCCAGAAACGAATTGTTTCTACCATGTGGACCAGCCGTTGGTCAAGTAGTTTTCTCTGACTCGGAGGGCACATGGCAGTGCAACCGGCACCGGTGCCATCGGCCTCTTATTGCGTATCTCTTGATTTTCGACCCCTCCATGGACCAAACCCCACCAAAAGGCACGTTTGATGCCATTGCCAAACACAGACACACCTTTCCGTAGGCGTTCGCAGTATACACATCCATGACCCAAATTCTCCGTCCTATCTCATGCCACCATGTGTGATAACTATCTCGCTGCAACTGTGAGGGGCCATGACGACGTGTCCAACACCTTGGACGACCATGAGACTTTCCACGCAGACCGGGCCATGCCGGTATCCCCCTGTGGTGAATTTGCCGCCGCGGGTCCCAAGCAACTGTAAGCAAGCACACCTGCTGGTGGTGGTGAATAATACTCGAATCAGTCCTTCAAAGCCGCTCTGTCTCGCCTTCTCTGTTCATGGCGTCGTTACTGAAGTGCAACCCAAACCCAAACCCAAACCTCCCGCCAATCCGGAAGCACCTCAACCTCAGCTTTCACCACCCAGCCTGACAAAACACATACCCACACGAACATTATACAACACAACATCCAAGGATGCCCATCGCCATCCCCAAGACGCCAAAGAATGGCATCACTAAATTCACAAACTGCCGTCTCGTAAAGGGCGACGCCCTCGTATCAGAAGACATCTGGGTCAGCTCCGTCACGGGCAAGATCATCCACAGCCAGGCCGCCTTCTTCGACGACCTCTGTCTTCCCGATGAGACCATCAACCTGGGCGGCCGCATCGTGTCGGCCGGCATGATTGACTGCCAGCTTAACGGCGCCTTCGGCTTCAACTTTTCCACGCTGCTCGAGGATATGACGCAATACGGCAAAAAGGTCCGGGAACTGAACAGGAAACTCGTGTCTACGGGCGTCACGTCCTACGTCCCGACACTCACTAGCCAAAAGCCAGAGCTCTACCAGGGGGTGAGTTAGACCCGATCTAGGTGATGATATTTCCATAGGTGCTAAGCGCTCTAAATATGCAGGCCCTGCCTTATCTCGGAGCATCAGGAGGCTTACAAGCAGCCCACGACGGAGCCGAATCGCTCGGTGCCCACGTGGAGGGCCCGTTCCTGAACCCCACCAAGAACGGCATTCACAACGTCGACGTCCTGCAGCAGGCAGAGACCTTTGACGACCTGGTCCGATGCTACGGCGCCGACAACATCGAGCCCAGCGCGGCCAACGGCGGCGTCATCCCGATCAAGATGATCACGGCGGCGCCGGAGCGGGGCAACATGACCAAAATCATCCCCGAGCTGCGGGAACGAGGCATCATCTACTCCATCGGCCACTCGGAGGCGACGTACGAAGACGCGTCGGCGGCGGTGGCCGCGGGCGCGACGATGATTACGCACTTGTTCAACGCCATGCGGCCCCTTCACCACCGTAACCCGGGCGTGTTTGGCGTGTTGGGGTTGGCGGAGAGCTTGGCGCGGCCGTATTTTGGAATTATCTCTGACGGTATTCATCTTCATCCGACGACGATCAAGATTGCGTTCAACGCGCATCCTGATGGGTTTATTCTGGTGACGGACGCCATGCATATGATGGGCCTTGCGGATGGGTCATATCAGTGGGTTAATGGACAGGATGTGAATAACATCATCAAGGTTGGCTCTACACTGTTGCTGGAGGGCACCAATACAATTGCTGGAAGGTAAGAGAGACACTTCAATGATTCGAAGAGATGTCTTTGACAAATACGGTACTAACAGCTCGATAGTGCCGTCACACTGATGGAATGCGTCAACAACTTCCTCCGGTGGTCTGGTACGGGCATCCCCAAGGCGTTGAAGGCCGTCACCGCGACGCCGGCAGCGATGCTCGGTCTTCAGGGCATCAAGGGATCCTTGGAAGACGGGGCGGATGCCGACTTGGTGATATTCTCTGAAGAGATCAGGGAGGGCGCCACACAGTTGATAGTAGACGAAGTTTGGAAGTCTGGAGCGTTGGTGTCGAGCAGGAAGGACGATCAATCGCCGATTACGCCATAGAATGACGAACTGCATGGAAGTACACGAGTCAAGATTCCGGGGGATACGTACGAATACAGGGAAGAAATATGGCGAGAGGAGAGAGGAGGACAGGGTCGAGCCCTACAATAGACTGTATACTCATAGAGCTGCCATCCGAACTTGAGGGTGTAAATGGATGCGCAGATAAAGTTCCCAAGATGGCTGGGATGGTTACTGGTAACACCAAGTACCTTACTGGGTAAGGTAGAGAGGGCCTCGCTTAGTCCTCGCCAGAGCTTGGTTGACTCTTTACTAGAGGATGGTTGCACAACATCCAAGTAGATTGGGTAGACGCCGACATTCGGCCGTGAACTAACGAAGATGTCAATGAAAAATGAGGTTGAATGAGGTTATTGTTGGTTGGTGAGTGAGAGAACGAGTAAAGTGCCTCTGTACAGTAACAAGAACTGTGTTCCGGGAACCATCGGCCCATTGAATTACTCGCCTAAGGTGCTATCGTACTGGGTAATAACCCACAGAGGCATCCTTGAAGCCCCCCGCATCTTGGTGCCATCACCTTAATCCCCTGCCTCCACAGTGCGATAACAGCCAGCCAATGACGGTACACGGGTGTCCTGATAGGGGTGGACACTGCGCAGGTGCTCTCCTTCCCTCTTTCTCGCGCGCTTCGACTCCACGCTGTCTCTCTCCAGAAGCCGAAGCCTTGGAGAGAGTCCTCCGCTTTTGTATTTCCCATTGACACTCGTTAATGAAGGCCACCAGCGCCAACCACCCACACGTGCCTTTGCTTGGTTGCTTTTGTCCCAGTGGTCGCGGGCAATCCTTTTGCTCGAATCGACGGAGCTCTTTTTTCTAGACACTTTCTATCCGGCAGTACTCGACACTACCTTGGACCAGGGCAGCGAAACCCCCAGACAACCTCTCCCACCCGGCCAGGCGTAGGTAGCTGCGCGCATCGTCGGCACGGCGCTCGCTACACAAGTCCTACTACCATGCCATGGCTGCGTTCCATCCATTGTCGTCAGGCGCGACGCCCGGCGACGGCATGAGCCTCAATAGCGCCGTGGTCGACGGTATAGACTCTTCCATTTTTGACGATTCACTGCTGTAAGTGCCCTTCCCGTCATCATTCGGCACTTGGCGAGGCTGGTAAGACGCAGCACCGTCAGCTCCTCCCGTCTCGCCAGCACCCGATCGCAACCATGAGACGAAAGTCAATTTGGCTGACACGCGTCTCGCCTCCCTCACCTGTAGAGATACCGTCAATGGCACTTTTCCTACGTTACCGTTCACCCCCACCTACGGCTTCGAAGACTTCTCCGCAACAGGCTTCGAAGACCCCTTTGCATACTCAAATCGCCAGTACGAAGCACCCCCCGCCCCCGAGGATTTCAACCAGGACTCGCCCACGCAGGAGCTGGACAACAAATTGCTCGGCTTTTCGACCCCGACATTGAAGGCGACGCTCTTGGACGGTACGGGCCAACATGTAGAACCCAGCATGACGGCCGAGCTGTACGGCATGTTCTTCGTCGCCGAGGACGTCTTTGGCGCCGAGAACAGCGGCAGGCCCCTCGAGCTGACGTGCTACCGGCGAAACCTGTGGCAGTGCTCTGGCCAGGTAACCATACCGCGACACATTACCCACGTGGTGGACGAGCAGGGCCGCCAGATGCCCATATTTGAGCTGTCCGCCTCCATAACCGCCATCGAGTCCATCGAGGGCAAGGTCACAGAAATCATATCAATACCTTGGAAGAGCGCGCATCCTATAGGCGCCGAGGAACCCAAATCCAACGGCGGACCGCCCAATATCGTCTTGGACCTGGCCAACGGGCAAGAGGTGGACGCCAACAGGGTTTCCCTGCCGTTATCATGGAAAAGGCTACAGTTCAAGCATGCAACAGCGAACAACGGAAGGAGGAAGGGTCTCCAGCAACATTACATTGTGGAAATCAGCTTGGTCGGCAAGCTGCAGTCGGGCGAATACATCAAGATTGCCGAAACCCACTCCGGCCCCGTTATCGTCAGAGGCCGCAGCCCGAGGAATTTCGACAGCCGGAAGGATATTCCCCTGACGGGTGGAGATAAGAAGGTTGGTGGGAGGAGCAACAGCGACGCTGCTGCTGCGACGCCCCAGAAGGAAAATGGCAGCAACAGTGGCATTCCCACGCCTGTACCCAAATATCAGACTGTTGGAAACGTCCAGCAACCAGCAGACTGGGCGCCACCACAACTATATCGTGAGTCGAGCGGGGGCCAACCGCCAGCGAAGAAGCTCGCCATGTCACCGGGTATCAACAGACCACCCATACCGGCATGGTCCACGGAACCCTCGAGAAGCCTGGGCAGGGCATCGGCATCCATGTCGGCTCCGCGCGGTGCCATTTCCGGCCCGATCAATCTATCACTTTCAGAAGACGAGAGGAGTCCGAATAGATCGAATTCGGACGTGCAGAGTCCGCAGTTCACCAAGTCGACGGCGGCTGCGGGGCATAACCCGAGCCAGAGTCCCAAAGAAGAGGACGACCTACTCTACGAATACTTTCCGCTTAGCGTCGACGACTGGTAAGAAACTTTGAGGTCAGTAGCATTATAGGTGCTAATATGTCAAACAGGATGCCGCCAGTCGAGGCAATTTACCGCCCCCACGTAGTCCACCACACCATTGTACCGCCGGAAATCAAGGCACAGCAACTCCGGAGCAAGGCAAAGAGATATTTCACCGCCGAATCGTAGGGTTTTATATATGGGAGCATATTTGATACGAATTGACGAAAGCCGCATTTTTGTTCGTTTTTTGTTTTTTCCATCTCGTTCCTCATTTGGTTTTATCCATCTTGGCTGTGTATTATATGGTAACTGTTACATTGGACTGCTTTTCTGCTGAGATGGCAGAGAATGGTAGGGGAAGGGGGGCGGGCGGGCGGTCAAATAGCAAATTAGGTCTGATGCGGTTATACCCGAGTTGTAAGTGACGAGAGAGACTCAAATACAGAACAATGATTATAGTTGGCTCGGCTTCTTCTTTTGAGTTGGGTTTCCTTTCATAGCACGACATTGTGCACACATCACAGTATTTGACATATCATAAATCCCAAGAATGTTGTACAGCACGATAATGTACGAAAAGTTTCTTACAATGTTTTTTTTTTTCTTTCATCTTTCATTCTCTTTTTATCTGAAGTTTCTCAGGCCAACTACGAGACGAGCCCTGCTCTTCCTCAGACCCCTAATGCCACCATCCAAGTGGACGTCAACCCCCCATCTCAGGAGTTGCTTACTTCCTGATACCAAAAGTTTTCCTCTTTTGATACTACCAAAGTCATAAATCTAAATCTCATTGAAAAAGGTTTCATCTTTTTTTTCCTTTCCCTTTATTTGGCCATAAGTCTACTATGCTACATTCTGTTTGGGCCTTCTTTGAGAAATGACAAAAAAAAAAAGACCCTCACCTCCCCTTTCCTACCGCGATGCGTCTTTCAATGAACACCTGGCATCTAACGAGTGTAAAAAAAAAGGTCAATATGCTTACAACAATCTCGGATTGAATGGAAAAGAAAAGAAAGAATAAACGAAGAAAGAAAGAAGAAAAGCTGGTCTTCGTCTTTCTCAAGCACCGACGGCGTTGACCCGCGACATCATCTGCTGCTCCGGATTCGGCGTCAACCGCCTCGCGAGCGCAGGCTCAGGGATCCTCGACGCCATACGATCAGGAACCAGTTCCGGCGTAGCAGACCTACTAATCGACGTTGACGTCTGCTGCTTCTCCGGGTTCGGCGTCAACCGCCCCGTAACCGCAGCAGGAACCCCCGGGATCCGCTCCGCCATCCTGTCCGTGACGAGGTCGGGCGTCACGGCGCGCAGCTGCTGCTCCGAGGGGGTCTTTGTGCGGGAGGCCATGCTCTCGAAGACGAGCTCGATGTCCGGAGAGGTGGAGCGCGAGCGGACGGGGTACTCCGTCGCCGGGGAGGCGCGGAGCAGGCGCGAGGTTGTGGGCTGCGGGTGGAGGATGGTGGGTGTGTCGACCTCGTCGATGCGGGTGATTGGGATCGGGGGAGGGGATGGGCCGGTGCGGATTTTGGAGGGGAGGATTTGTTCGAAGCCTTGTTCGCGGGCTACTTTTTCGATGGATTTGAAGTACTAGGTTGGGGTTTTGTGAGTTTTCTGGAAGCTGACCTTGGGTGTAGGGAAAGGGGTAAGGTGGGAAGAGTCTTACCTTGACCGTCTTGACTTGCAGCTCAAGCGTCGCATCCTCGTCGACGACAATCATGGGGTGAGGGTGTAGTTGCAAGCTCGACAGCGTCCACATGTGGTTCACGCCCTGCTCGATACACCTCTGCAGCGCAAGAGCCTTCTTCGCACCCAAGATAATCGCCACGACCTCGCGCGCCTCAAGCACGGTCTGGACGCCGACGGTGAGCGCGAGGCGCGGGACCTGGTCGACGTCGTTACCAAAGAAGCGCGAGTTGGCGAGGATGGTGTCGTAGGCGAGCGTCTTGACGCGGGTGCGGGAGGCGAGGGAGGATCCCGGTTCATTGAAGGCGATGTGCCCATCCTCGCCGATGCCCGCGAGGAAGAGGTCGATGCCGCCGACGGCCTTGATCTTGGACTCGTAGGCGACGCACTCTGCTTCGAGGTTCGGGTTTTGGCCGTTGAGGATGTTTACGTTTTGGGGGTGGATGTTTACGTGGGAGAAGAGGTGCTTCCACATGAAGGAGTGGTATGATTCTGGGTGGTCGCGGGGGATGCCGACGTATTCGTCCTGGGGGTTTGTGTTAGTATGGTGTTCGTGGTGTTATATGAGAGATTCACGTACCATGTTGAAGGTGATGACATTTTCAAAGGAGATCTATGAGTACACGTGGTGTTAGTGACCAATACGCTTGATGGTGATGGTAGTTGAGAGACACGATCCTACCTCTCCAGCCTTGTACTTCTGAACAAGGATCTTGTATACACCGAGAGGGCTGCTTCCCGTGGGCAAGCCAAGCACGAAGGGATGCGCCGGGGTAGGGTTGAAGTGCTTGATGCGGTCAACGACGTAGTTGGCTACGTAGGCGCTGGCGGCCTCGGCATCGTCGCGGATAATCAGCCTCATCGTGGGGGGGGGGGGGGTGGATGCGTTTACACGGATATGGAAAGGTACAACGATACAATATGATACGAGGTGGTAGAAGGGATAGAGCAAAGACGGATACAAGGGCAAATGGTAGTTAGGCTTGCAGGTATCTTCGGCTTTCGTATTGTGAGGACAGAGAGGAAAGATAGATACGAGAGAGGGGCAAGACGAAAGGTGCCTTTGCTTATGAGGGAGCAATTACACCCAGGTGGACAGGCAAAAAAGTCTTTGCGGTTCGCCCACGCCCCTCCTTCGAGGGGGTTCTCCCCTCCCGGGGACCCGTCTCGTCGCAAGAAGCCTGACATCACAGACTTTTTGCGGCAACAGCCCCAAAGTATGCTGATGACTTTCCCACCTCAACCCCCGTTTGTGTGGTGGAGGGGGATGGAACGTCACTGCTATCGGCGGTGTTTGAGGAATAGAGTCCCACCACCAACCGGGCCGGCGGGGAGGGAACAAGATGTACTGTACACACATTATTAACGTTGCCCGTGACAGGTTCTTTTATCGGCCGAGTTTCCTTTTCCAAAGGATTGGTTGTCGAAGCGCTCTCGACTCATGAACAGCGGAGATGGTGTACCAATAGGTCATGGTTTTGACATGATGATCAGAGCGGTTCTACGAATGAAAAGTAGGCTTTTGAGGAGTCTAGTGATGAGCAGTACCTTTGTGTGATCATCTTATTGCAAGCAGGCCGTTTTTTTTTCTCAGATAGCATATCGTCATTCACGATTTAGACTCGAGTTGAGCCGAGCTTCCCCGGGTTTGCCGGGCCAGGGTCGGGCATGTTCCTGTCTTCCCAAGCGGGGCGGTGGTGGTGTTGAAGGAGCCATGTGGTCGGGTTCAATGACTCCCCAGCACCTAGGATGGGGAGGGGCCCAAGCTTGGAATAGCTGCTTTCTGAAGCTTCTACTGTGTGGATGTTTCGATATCGGCGCGCGCACGGGGTGGCGATGGTGGTCGCTTGTCGTTGACACGGCCGGCGTCCGTGAACTCGGGTCTCCCCTCCTTGGCTCTTGGGGGGGCTTTCTGCAACCCGGCGGCTGACGATTGATTGCATGTCACTGCATGCCAGCAGGGGGGGTGCGGATGGCCTAGTGTACGTCTGGAGGATGCCGTGCTTTGCATGCAACTGATACGTGGGGACTGAAGCGAGCGATCTAACGTAACGGGCATGGTTGCCGCCGGCCGGCTACTTAGTGTACCTCGCCCTCTCATGATACATAAGGTATAAGGTAGAAGAACGGATACATAAGTGATGGGATCACTCGTGCGGTATCGTGGGTGGTTCGAGCTTGAAAGGTCAGCGGCGGCTTAGCTGTTGGTGAATTAACCCTGTACCAAACTGCCATGAGACGTGGTGCTGTGGTGGAGGCCTCGGCATTGGTGACGAGGATTGGTGCAGTGGATGAGACAAGAGGCCGGTTGAAATTGATAGAGGCAACCATGCAGGGCCGGTAGAGGAGAACGTGTCAGTGCAACGGCGCGGCTGGTATCGTCAAAGATGGAAGCTTGATGGTAAGGTTGTGTATGGAGTATTCAGCAGGGCGTCGTGGAGTCTTGGAGGTGTTGGTTGTTGCACGTAACTTTGGTAGTGGATCGTAACAATTTAGACAAGGTGAGAGAGTGGGGGATCGACCCTTCCTTGGGCTCCGAAAGCGCCGGAGTCGCTGTCCGTTTTCATCTGATCTTGGTCAGCCACACCACACTGTCCCTTGAGCACACTCACAGCTTCGCTTCCGCAACTATCAAAAAGCAACGTTACAACTGGAGGGGGCAATTCTCATCCTCGATCCCATCACGTACTGTCCACAGTCAACAAGCTCAACCACAATTGTCAGACAGTGCCCGTCGCGTCCTTAGCAGACACCAATTTACCTTAGCCTCAGCTTAAGCTCGGTGAAATGTCCATTGAGCCACCAATGCCTGGCGTCTACGCGCGAATCCCAACCTGATGTTTCGGCTCTCTTGATTTGCTTCCAAATGCCACTTGTCGCAGTTGTCTCTCTCTCTCTCTCTCTCTCTCTCTCTCTCTTTCTATTCCCTGCAATCTCCCCAATAAACCTTCTCAACCAACTACGAGGCAACGCGGGCACTTACCCCCTCCCGCGCCCATCCATCCATCAACACGAGCCTCCGGCCCCCAAGTGAAGGAAGTGGATTGGAGCATCGAGCCTGGACTGAGCTAGACCAGATGAACCAGCCCTTGGGATTACCGCGTGTCGCCCCATCGCCTGTGCGACGTTGAAGACAACCTGGAAGACAATCTTCGCGCGTTCCCGCTTCTCACCTTGCCCACTCACTCACTACCTTGCCTCTCATCCAAGACACCAAGACACCGACCGGTCTTCTGTTCAGTGAACCATTGGTTGCTGGCCGGTGTCGCCATCGCCCTTCTCTCTCCCGACTGCCCCCTCCCCACTTCGTCGTTGTTGTTCATCCCACTGTCGTTCTTGTTGGATACGACGTCTCTGGGCTTCCACCGCCAACCTGAGCAGTAGAGCGAGGGGAGGGGACCGGCAGGTTCCATTCTCTGTTATTCTGCCCTCCGTGCGGTGCGCCAGTCACCCTCTCGGGTTGTGCCTGTCGATCCGCTACCAGTCCGTCTACCGTTCCGCCGTGGAGTTCGTTTAAACGTTCGATCAGACATCTTTGCAACCCTCCACTTCCACTACCTTACCTCTCACACTCTTCCTCGCTCACTCTCACTCTCACTCTCACTCTTGCCATCTCACTCATTTTCGTTCCATCTCAACGGCCTGTCTCCGGGGGACATGGCTCGTGCCCCAATCCGTTTATTTACAATCCGATACCTCGTCAGCTAGATGATCCGGCACCCGATTGTGACTTTCTCCGTTTCATAAACAAAAGTCTTTTAATGTCATGCAGCCATATTCACCTCCTACCATGGCCACGTTTCCAAAGTCTTTCCTGGCCGCCGTCGTCAAGCAGCTACTCCGGGGCAAATCGTTGATTCAAGCCCTCTTGGCCTTCTGGCTCACGCCCCAAGCCGTCTCAGGGAAACCGACAACTTCAAAGGTGGACTGTTGCAGCACATCGGGGACGACGACGCCCTCGGGTCAAAGTATCGAGGAATACCTAAAGGAGGCCGAGCACCTCCTCCTGGGGCCCTTACTCGACAACGATGGCCTCCTCGAGTTATCCAACGCCCTAAAGGCGCAGTTCAGAGACAAATTGCAGACGAGCATGGCCTGCATGCTCCCTTCGTACAACCACCAACTCCCCGGCGGGCACGAAGTCGGTCAGTACCTGGCGGTGGACGTGGGGGGGTCGACGCTGCGTATCGCGCTGGTCGAGTTGCGGGGTCGTGACGCCGTGGGCCGGGAGAGCGAGATTGTGCGGATGAGTTCGTTCAAGATCGACAACGATGTCAGGAACTTGGAGGGCATGGCCTTCTTCGACTGGATGGCCGAGAGGATATGGGACATGGTGTCACAGGATGGCCAGGACCCTTCACGGCCCATGCCCATGGCCCTGGCATGGAGCTTTCCCATCGAGTAAGTCCAGTCCCTCGTCACTAGGGAACGATTTCATTCGACCGGGCCAGAAACTAATCATCTTCACAAAAGGCAAACATCACTAAAAGGCGGCCGCATCCACGGCATGGGCAAGGGCTTCCTCGCCGCCGAGGGCCTCATGGGCCAAGACCTCGGCGAGGTCATCGAGACCGCCTGCGCAGCCAGGGGCCTGACAGGCACCCGGCTGCGCGTCATCCTCAACGACGGCGGCGCCACGCTGCTCTCCCAAGCCTACGTCCACCCGGCCACCCGCTTCGGCCTCATCCTCGGCACCGGCGTCAACATCGCCGCCTACCTCCCCGTCTCCCTGATCGGCAGGGCCAAATTCGGGGACCGCCCGCGGGAGTGGTGGAGCGAGGCGCGCGACGTCATCGTCAACACGGAGCTCGGCATGTTTGGCGGCGGGGGCGTCCTCGGCGTCACGCGCTGGGACAGACTGTTGAAGCAGGGGCACCCGAGGCCCGATTTCCAACCGTTAGAGCAGATGGTGAGCGGGTACTATCTCGGCGAGGTGGTGAGGTTCGCGTTGATTGAGGCGATTCGGACGACGGGGGTGTTTGGCGGCGTGGTGCCCAAGTCGCTTGATGAGCCGTACTCTTTGAAGTCCGAGACGATATCTGCTATTGAAGGGTAAGCTTGACTCCCACACCCACCCTTTTTTATGAACACTTTGCTAACGACACTGACAGAGATACGTCACCATCACTCTCATCCTCCATCGACCTCTTCACCGCGCAACATCCCTCATCTCACACCCCCACACCATCAGATCTCGCCGCCCTCCGCAGCCTAGCCTCCTTCGTCTCGAGGAGGTCAGCCGCCATCATCGCAGCGTGCTTACACGCCGTGTGGTCCCTCCGTCTCGAGTCTCTAGCCGAGGAAAAGGAGACGAACACAAAACAGACGGCGTCGACGAACCATGGTTCCGCAGAAGAGGACGAGGACGCGGACCTTCTTCACCAGAGGATACAAAAAGAAACCTCCTTGTCCCGGACAATGGTCGCCTACAACGGCAGCGTCATCGAGTGCTACCCGGGCTACCTGGCAATGTGCCAGTCGTACGTCGACGCGCTGGTCAACAGGGGCGACAGGAGCGTCGAGCTCGTGCCGGCGAAGGAGAGCTCGCTGTTGGGGGCCGGCGTCGCGCTGGCGAGGGCTTGTGATACCGCGTAAAAGGGGTGAGGGTTTTCTCACTCAGTGTCACAAAGTGTGGACTGAGAAATGGGAGGAAGATAGAGATGATTTTGCGCTTTTTGAGTGGCATAATTTCTGACAGCATGCATGGCAAGGAGTAAAAATATGGCTTTTTTTTTTCTTACAAAACGTAAATAATTATCAAGCATTTCAAACAGCTCAGTAAGCTCAGCGTTGATGATCATTTCATCTTGTAGTTAAATTTTGGGGGGTATCATCACTTCATTTCCCGTCTCTCCATCGTTTCTAAGCAGACGCATCTCAGAAAAGCCAATATGTGCTCGTCAGCACACGCCTTACTCCTCATCGTCATCATCAGCAATCTGCTCCACCTTACGCCTCTTCCTCCCTGCTGAACGGCCCCCCTCCCGCTTCACCACCCTCGGCTCGTCACCATCTCCATTCCCATCCAGCTCTTCACCCTCTCGCTCTTCCTCCTCCTCCTCCCGACGGCGTTGCTGCTCCAGAGCACGCTTCATCTTGCGCAGGATGACTGGATCGTCAAAGAAGTCGTTGAGAGCGATTTCCTATTGTATTCCGCGTTAGTGACTGCGAGGCATTTCCTGGACATAGGGATGGCTTGTCTTCATCGAGACTTCGAAAAAGCAAGACGTACTTTGGAACAACCAGCCACAGGACACTGCGCGCGATTACCCGGCGACCTACGCAGGAACTCTGTAATCGCCGCCTTTTCAAACGTATGACTGCACGCGCTACTGCTGACGGGGTCCTTGAACAGCTGCATGGACAGCGGACACCTGTACTCCCTATTCTCTCCAGCAATAACGAGGTCGTCGTCGCTGTCGTCTGCCTCCGCGCCCCCAGCAGCTGCCGCGGCTGATTCGTCATCACCACTGCCGCCTCTCCGGGATACGGCAGGCATGACGGGGTTCCCGGCATCGTCGAACCAGCGCTTCGCATTGGGTAGGGAAACCTCAGCGTCGCCGTGCGCGGCATCGTGCCACAGCTTCTTGAAAGCGGCGTAATCGTTGTTGACTGCGTAGCGCTGGTAGGCCGTCATGCGCTCGTACTCTGTCAGCTTATCGGCGCGCTGCTGGCGGAGGATATCGATGACGGAGTACTCTGGCGGCGGCGGAAGCAGGCTCTCGTTCGCTGCATCATTGTCGTCCTCATCTGCGTCGCCGCCGCGACCGTTGGCCTCCGCTCGTGTGCGCCCGCCGCGTTGGAGAGGCGCCTGCTCGGGGAGCGTCTGGAAGTAATTGACCGTGTCCGCGAGCGCAGCCTTTTCGTCGAGCAGCTCTGTCTGCCTGTCAATCAGATCGCGCAGCGCGGCCTCGGCCTCGGCCGTCAGGCGTGGCACCTCGTCATCCAGCGCGGCTGTATGTGCTTCAACGTCTAGCTCGCGCTGGGACTTTTCCTGGCTGTCTAGGCTGTCCGTCTTGCTGTCTGCGCCCTGCGACTGCGACTCGGCGCGCTTCTCGGCGAAGCGGGCGAGAGCCTCGTGCCGCGTGCGGACGGCGTCGTTGATGCCGACTACGGAGAAACCGAGGTGTCGTATCGAGGCTTTCAGGTGGTTTTCGTAGCGGTGGACGTCGCGGCTGTTGGATAGGTCTGCGATGGCGCGCTTCGCTTCCGCTGAGAGCGGGCAGGAGAGGGGTTCGTATTCTGGGAGGCGGTTCTGGGGACCGGAGTCATCGTCTTCGTCGTCGGCGATACGTCTTTCTGGGCGGCGTTGGCCTCTGCGGCTTAGCACAGGCATATTTGTTTGAGGCGCTGGCTGGTCAATGTCGATGTCTTAACGTCTTCGAATTCTAGGATATGTACAGAGTGTATGATGCGGGCGGAGTGATTGCTTTTGTTGGTCGAACGTGGATTCTGAGTTTCACCAGCTTCGAAGATGGGAAATTTCGTGAAAGTGAAGTGGGAGACGCGATTGACGTGCTGTAGCGCGTCAGTGGGTTAAAGAGGTGCTGGGTACGTACCGTTCGGGGCTCCCTGACCGCGGGGGTGGTCCCTGCAGCACCAAGGTAAGGTGCACTTTCAACCAACGTCCCGTTGTCCATCTTCTTGTCTACTGTGTAGTGAGAATGGTTTGGGAGGTCACTTCATTCGTCGTATATGAGCTTGACTACAACTTCCAAGCCTCCACAAATTACAGAAAGCTTTTGCATCATCGGCTCATCAGCATCAGTGACAAAAGCAATAAATATTCTCTCTCCAACGTGCCCTCACAGAACCTCCTACTACGGTGCTTCTTCCACCTTACACAACGGCAGCCACCAAAGATTGGTGTGAATGTGCTCTTGACTAAGCAATGGCAAATTTCTCGTTGAGATAACACTTACATTGATAGCTCTTAATATTCTTTTGATTGATACTCTGCCTGCCTCCATCATTGACTGTGTTGTTTTCCTGACAGAGAATGAACCCAGTGCATCTAACCTTATGCGAGACAAAACCACAGCGGGTCAACAAGACGGTAGATTATTATTTCCATCCAAGTATTTGACCAACGTATATTTTACTTTCTTCCACGTCCTTCTCACGGATATTCAGACACGGATACTATAAATAAGACGGGCTCTCTCTCACTTTCATTCTCGACCAGCCGAAGAACCACTGAAAATCGTTATGGGCGTCACCTTTGCTTGACCGGATTGTGTTGGTGCGGAATACCGCCATCACCGCGCCATAGGAATCACAGCCCGCCGGCCTCGACCATGAAGATTTCACACCAACCAAGTGACCCCCTCGCAGGTGACGATCCAAGATTTGATCATATGCTCTCATCTCCAAGTTCCCCTGGCACAGGGCTGTCCAGAGATTGAAACTCTCTCTTGTGTCTGTGGAAAAGAGCTCGTCCACATCAAAACCAGCAGGGCAGTCCCGATTAAGGTGCAATACACTTAGTACTCATTTTTGCAACGAAGTAGACGACTGAGAAGTCTATCCTTCCGGATCATGAAGTATTTATAGAGAATAATGGTCATTATAACAGCCGCAATTGAGTTTTTGGATCAAGACGAGGGTATCAGAATCCAGAACATTCGAGGAATACCTTGACACGCTAATTTTTACCCCCTCCTCACCCTTCCTACTCCTTTGACCGCTCAGTATACGTCAAGTATCTCCAACGTCTAGTTCTCATCACTTTTGGGAGACTAAGACTAGTGAGCCATCTTAAAGGTGAGAGCCCACCAGATCCTGCAAGTCTCCAAGGCTCCGAGGTTGGGCACCTCAGCACGTCAGAACGACGTGCTGTGAAACCTGCAGACAAGACATCAGAGAGGTCCATTACTACAACCACTCTACTGTGATCTCCATGTTTCATATCGCCGTTCCTAAGCGCCAAATCAAGTCAAAGATTGCGAAACACCAAGGCTGCTTCCCAGTATAAAGTACCTCTATGTCTTGTATATCAGAAATGAAAGCAAGATAAAGAATCAAGAAGCCGAGATTATGGTGTGAGGCTAACATCTCTTGGCCTTCCTCTGTCTTTCGTGAGACATTGACCTATAATTCCATCCCCCAAGACGCACTTCCCTTTGAAAAAAGTCCAGCCCAGCAAGATCAGCTCACCAAGGTTCCAAGAGCCTTGACCTCGGCACCTATAAAAGGCTGCGGTTCAGTTTAAGTTTGGACGGATTACCCAAAGGGAACGCTATGGCTCTCCTGATGGGTCACACTTTCTGGCGGCCCAAATATCGGGATTCTGGAGCTTGAGGCGGCCACCGCGGGTGTCTGTCTACAATTTACTTTGGACTTTGGAAACGTCAAAGAATCGTCCAAGGCCTACCAAGTCAAGCTCGGTCGTCGTCCAACTACGCCCGTCGTCACGCAGAACATGTCCATCTCCGAATATGATGTACGGCGTGAATAGTAGTCTCGAATGCCGTACATCGCTGTAGCAATCCGCCCTTTGTAATGCTTCGTGTACAGAGTACGTTCAATCTCAAGTAGAGTTGACACACTCCGTCGGCACACTTCTTAGAGACTTTTCCAAGTGAAGAACTTTTCACCGTCCCATGCTACTTCTATCTGTTCTTTATACTTGACTTTGTCTTCAAAGGGGTTAAACTAAGTTCCAAAGCATCGCACTCATGGTCAGTAGAAGGGGGAAAATTTCTGATATATTTCTTTAATGCACGATCCTGCTATACAGACCATAGCATGTTGTAGTCTGGAGAAATTGACGCGCCCAGCCTCAAGAATTTCCTGTGAGGAACTCATCTCGTCTGCAAACCTCCCAAAATCTACATACGAATCACGAAAGAATTAAAAACTCGGAATCAGTACTACACTCTGATCGGGCTAGTAGAATACAGGCACAAGGCCACGAGTCGTAGAACGAATACCCTTTTTCTAGGGAGGAGAGACTGAACCTACTACATCAAGACCCTATTAGTCAACTCTAAGCCTCTGAAAACGATGCCAACTCAAATGGTCACTCGCCTCCCACAGTGTGTAGAAAAGTCGTTGAGTCAAGATTATCAAACCTAGCATGCCATTGCTTCTGAAAGGCTTTATTCCTGCACAACTTCATCCAAAGATATAAACACTGAGACCCACCGCATCCATGCTTGGAACTATGCATACTCGGACTATTTGATGAACAACACCTTTGATCTCAAATTTACACAACAAATCCTTCATGCAACATATCCCTCCAACCCCTTCCCACGTCAATGTAGTTAGCCCTCCAAGTACACGCCCCCCCTCACCTTCACCGGTGTCCCGGCACCGAGACTGGGGAAGAGACCGAGAAGAATATATATATAGATATCACGGAGTGGGTAGCGAATACACATCATCAAAAACCACCCGCCCTCAACCCCATTAGTCGCCTACCTTCGGTTACGGAGTACACAGCCCCCAAATCACCTTGCTAGTTGGAACACTGCCCTCATGCCTGCAAGACATCATGAGCTGCCTGCCAGCAATGGATCTCCCTGACAGCTCCCGTCTCTCGGGAAGGCGACGATCGATACTCCTTTCGAGGAAGCTCTCTCCTCCCTTCGTTTTCTTTCTCTCCCACTCATGCCCGTTTCAAATGCTTATTTCGGTTCCATGGTGATTAGGATACATCAAGTGTTGAGTGGCCTAGACTATCCCCAAGAAGGGTGACACTGGAGATGGGACGGGAGACCATCGCCTTCAATCCTCGAGATTTTTCACGCTTAGTACCTACCCGACATCCAAGGTTGACAACGGAGATCACTCCGGAGAAACGACACCCCCAAGAACTCCTCCTACCGTCCCACGAAATGAAGGAACCATCTCCGTTTTCTATTTCCGTCTTTACCGGGGGGAAGGAAAGAAGAAGGTGAGAGAAGAAAGCGGAGCCCACGGGGAGAAAAGTAGGCTAGATGCCGGTGCCGGGCTTGGGTGCTGGGTATTGGGAGATATTGCAATCCCCGTGTAAACGAAGGCAACCCATCTCCGAAAGGACACTCCACACCCGGGAAAACGGTTTCTTAGGTCCCGGCAGATATCCATAGGTACCCTTCCCCGATGACGAGGACCCGGGTCTCCTGAGCTTGGCTCAGATGAAGGTCAGCTATGCACAAGATTCATAATACGTGTATGCTGACTACCTAGTATTATGTTCAAGCGGAGAGGTTGAGATAGAGACATACGATGACTTACACAACAAGTCTGCACAACTTTTCGCCCCACCCTCACCACCCTCAAAATTAGCCAAACCTGGGAACCTTCGTTTTCAGAAAGAAGAGCGAACCAGGTTCTCTGGTAAAACCATAACCAGTAACCCGGTATCCGTACCCGTCGTAACTTCCGACAAAAGACCCCTCTCCCCTCCCCCTCCTCCCCAAGCCTCAAGGTTCCAAAAGCCCACCAATATTGACAAACACAGCCACACCAAATCTCAATCACAGTTTACTTACTCATCTCACTCTCCGGAGGAGGAATGGAGGCCAGAGGGTTGGGGGGGGGGGGGGAAGGGGGGAGGGGTGGGTTAAAATTGAAGTTGCTTTATCCTTCTTGGACGTCGACAACATCTCCACACCACACCCGCCTCGCGGGAAAGACGATACCTCGAAAGGGGAAATCACTTAATCCACCCTTACTGCCCTCCCGTAATGTTACCAGTGTAACGGTAGCACTAAGCAATTTTGACTGGACCCAGAAGGCAGCTTTCACTTCCCGGCCGCAAGGGTCTCGAGGATTCGAATGTCAAGCCGCAATTAAAAAGCTTGGTGGGTTTTACCAGGTATGTCAGGCATTCATGACCTCGCCTCGTCGGGTCCGAAGAATCCTAGCAGGACTGGAATCTCCGGCCGAATCCAACATACCGGCCCCGCAGGCACCAAAAACACGATGAACGACGTGCAAAGAGTGATGATGAAGAAGTTCCCTGTAACATCCGACAGGTTATTTTGTACTAAACACCAAAAAAAAAAAAAAAAAAAAAAAAGATGTTCAAAAAAGACTGCTCCGGGCCACGCTCTGTATGCGCTTTATATGCCTCAGGAGAGATGCAACCGTTTGTAAATGTAAGCTTATACAATGGGCTATCGCCCGGGATAAAACAAGCTGGGCGTGAACTGTAAGGCCACAGCTTTTTCATTTTTTTGGCCCTCCAATTCGAATATGAAAACCTCCCTTTCCCATTCAACCTCATTGTAATGGATCTCTCAATCCATGTACATTGGATCCCCTCTCACCTGTGACATGGCCAGTCCCATATCACCGCCATGCATGCTCTGCATCGTAGCTTGCATATTCGGCATTGACCGGCTCATGTTGATTGCTTGCCGATTCGCGTTCGGATTCCCGTTCTGCATCATAAACCGCGCATCGCTAGCACCCCTTTGCTGTACCTGCCTCGTCCGTGGCACCTCGAGGGTGGCTTGTCGTTGAATCGGCTGCTGGGGCATGGGCTTCGTGGTGGGCGTGTTCATTACGGCAAAACTGTCATCATCCTCCATCTCAGCATCGGCGTCGGCGTCGGCATCCCCATCCGCATCGGCATCTTGATCGCTTGCCTCATCAATCGAAGGCGGACCTGTTGAATCACCTGGGTCGCTATGGCCAGTGGCGCTCGTTGTCGACTGCCGATGCTCGGGGCTTGGGAATTGTTGCACCTGTTGTTGTTGTTGCATTTGCTGCTGTTGTTGTGCCGCTTGCATCTGTTGGTGTTGTTGCGGTTGCTGTTGCTGCCCTTGCTGCTGGTTCTGTTGTTGTTGCTGTTGAGGAGTCGGCGTCGGTGTAGGGGTGCTGCTGTTTGCTTGGTCCAGTGCCCTCTGAGCATTCATGCCAGTGTTGGCGACACGATTCATGCTGATGACCGTCTTCCACCTCTCGATTGCCCGCACAACAACGTCATTTAAATCCAATTGTCGGTCCTCCAATCGCAGTCCAACATGGCGGCTACCACTCTTGATACCCGCCTCCAAAACGTGAGTGAGAAGCTGCCGCTCCAGGGGCACCGTGGCCGGTGAGAATAGCTTGAATTCTCGTGGCTGTTGGAGACGGTTGAGCTGGTCGATCTGAGACTTCAAGTTCGTGTTCTCTTGCTGTAACCTGTGCTGGTCATCCTTCATTTTGTCAATCTCAGTTTGCTTCCTGCCAACGCTCCTAGCCATTTCCAAGAGCCATAGCTCGTTCCGCCGCTGAATAGGCAGAGAAGACCAAACTTGAAAGGCTGATCCGAGATGCTCATTCACCTGCTTCTCGAGATTTTCTGCCGACTTTTCCGCCTTTTTCACTGCTTCGCGGGTGTCTCTGATAGGCTGGTCCCGAGGAGGGTACGTAAGATCTTCCATAGCTGCCGTAGTAGCAGTTGCGCAGGTAATCTTCCAATTGTTGAATTCTTCTTGGAAGAAAGCCTTGAGAGCATCATACTCTCTTTGACCGGGTGATTGAACGGACCAAGAGGTGGAGGTGGGGTGCTGGGTAGAGGAGAAGAGAGTTGGTGGCGAGGCGAGGCATTGCAAGGTCAATGCAGGGAAGTCGAGGGCTAGAGGGTCAAAGTCGAAAGGCATGGAGTTGTTGTCGATTTGTTGCCTATAGTAGCCAGGGTTAGCCATCATGTATTCCTTCCCCATTTGTTCACTTCTGCTGCATTTCAGAAAAACTCACTTGGCTGCCCTCCACGAGCTTAGGAGCTCTCGTAATGCAAGCTCTGCCGCACGAGCAGTATCCATGGCATCTGCTAGCTTGTGCTTGACGTCGAACTGCGCCTTTTGTATGACTTGCTTGCTCACTTGTCTCGGTCTTTTTCCTGCATTTTGGCTTCCCTCGCCATCGGTCGAGGTAGCGATTTCGCCGTTTTTGGCGGGGATATTGTTCATAACGCCCGTGGCTTCCCACGAGGGAGTCCAAGGGTATTTGCTTAGTGTAGAGTCGACAGCATATTGACCGTCCTTTGGCAGAGCCGGGGACTTGTGAGACTCGCCACTGTCTGGCGCAGCATCTCTCTTGGCAGCAGGTCTTGGGGTCGTGGCTGGAGTTGAGGCGTTCCTCCCGCCCAAGGATCCTCTAGGTTGTCTCCGCGTGATGCTTCCTCGCAGACGCTTGATTGCGTCAACGTCGTGGATTCCATCTGGCGGCTTGGGGTTCTTCTCCTTGATGTAGAGATCGAGGTGTCGACCGAGAGAGGAGGAGGTGAAGGCCTGGCCGCAGTAGGGGCAGTTCTTATCCTTGGGGGCGCCCAGCTTCTGTTGGCTCGAGTCGGCGTTGCTCGCGGTTTCCGCCATTTTGGCTCGGGGGTGGTGGATGTAAAGAGACGGGTGGGTAACGAGTGCTTCGAAAGGTTTATCGACGGTAGGGATGAATTCGTGTTCGTTTCGGTGGGGTGGGCTGTTACAAGGCTTCTCTTGCGTGAATAGACTCTTGCAGCTGCTCCAGGGGAGCTATGTAATCGAGGGTCATATGTAGATGGACCGGGTAGAGAAAGGTCGGAGGCGGAGCCGGCAAAGTTCAGAGTTGATAGATAAGGTAAGGAAATATAACGAGTGGTGTTGAGGACAGAGTAGTTAGATAGGCAAAGAGAGTAGTAAAAAGAGGGAAGTAATCAATAAAAGAAGGACTAGATGCTGAAGAGCTAAACGAGTGTGCGAAGAGAAGGAGGTCGGTGGGAGATGTCGAGAAGTAGCTGCTACCCTTGTACGAACAGAGGTTCACTGAACGCTGGCCAATCCTTGTGACGAAGAAACGTGTATATCGGCCGTTCACGGAGTCAGGTATGGGAGAGGTTCGGGGTCGGTTTGAGATGTGGGCGAGAGCTAAGGTAGCGAGTCGGGTTGGCGGAGGAGGGCAAAAAGTAGGATGCCGGGTATTAAGGAAGTAGTAAAATCTTTTCCCGGTCTTGTCTCTCTCACGCGCGCTCTCTCTCTCTCTCTCTCTCTCTCTCGCGGTCTCTCGATCTCTCGATCTCTCTTGCCGTGCAGGTTCTCAATTCATCCGTGGACTCTCTCAATCTCTCGACCTCTCTGCAAAAACAAAAAGAGACGAAGAGGGGATGGATGGGAAAAGGGCAAAAGACGGGAGGTGGAAGTAAAGTACAGAAGAGTAAGGGGAAGTTGCAAAAATGTCACCCGGGATTTAATTATTGCAGTTTTTTTTAATAAGGCAGGCGGGCAGGGGTAGCACCACCGACCCGCGCCAGAAAAGGACGGCGAGGTGGGAGCTTTGGCGCACCCTAAGGTACCTTGGTCCTTTGGACCTTGGGTGCTTAGGTACACCTCATAGTAAGGTACGGGGCGGAGAACTGAGGTGCACCCCCCCATCTTCTCTACGTACCCGCCTCACCTCACACTAGGTAAGGTAAATCCATCCCTCCTCATCCCTCATCCCTCACTCATCCCATCCGGGCCATCCCAATCCCAATCCAATCCAATCCCGTCCTGTCTGTCCACCACGACCAGCCAGCCAGCTCCTCACTCCTGTCCGCTTTCCCCCAGATTGCCGCCAGTGTGCATGTGCAGGTGCCCTGGTGCCCTGGTGCCCTGGTGAGCGGGTGCAGCGCGCGCAAGCTACAAGCACAGACGGAGCCAAGGACGGCCCAGATGCAAGCCCCCCTTCACAAGTTCACGGGCTCAAATGTCCAGGGCCGTACGGTGGTCCCACCTCTGCGCCGGTGCTCTTTTTTTCATATCCATAAACACCTTTTAATAGCCATTCACTGCACCTTAATAGCACCTTAGCACATCGACCTACCTTGGCATTAAAATAGTCGAAGTATTGACTTGGTGACTTAGGTAATATCCAATGACGCCTCGCGAAGCTGGCTGCGTCAGGGAGGCGAACCGTAGGGTCTCATCAGCCAACGGGGAGAGGAAACGTATTCCTGCATCTCCTCTCAACCTAGGTCCCTAAGGTCGAGGCCAAGTCAAAGGTCAAGGTACCTAACTCTGTACCATCCATGACAGATATCTCAGCGCACCATAATCAGCCGCCTCGCGCCTCGGAGACAAGGTGAAGAGATAGCTCGAGCTATCGATACTTTACTTCACTAACAGTCTGGGAACACCTTACCTTAATTCTACACCGACTGCACACCACCAGGGCAATCTGCAGAAACGGTAGAGCATTTTCTCTTTCGATGCACACAGTGGACGGCACAGCGGACTCGGATGCTCCAACAGACGGAAACGCGGAGAGGAAATCTGTCATACTTCCTGGGAGGAAAGCGCGCGTCCGACCCTAAGGATTGGTCGCCAAGCGTAGACGTTGTCAAAGAGACGATCAAGTTCGCCATGAGCACGGAGAGGCTAGATGCACAGATCAGCCAGCAGCGAAACCACACGCAACTAACATCATCAAATTAACCGGAGACACCCCCACGCATCCTCGTGCCATCGACAGCAGGACTAGCTTCGGCCGCCGACGATAGGACGTCGAACACTTTGAGAAACAACTCCGAGATGGCCTGCTACTAACCCCACGAGCAACCGCAGCATCGACATGCAAAACTAAAAAAGACACATACGGAGACGAACAAGACTTGTATGGGCTTCTGGGAGGCAAGGATATGAACGAATGTGGAGAATATGTAGATAATCATGCGAGCCCTAAACAGCTTAGCCGGGGCGTAATAAACTATGTATGTATGTATGCACACCACCATTGGATCCATAGCATCTAGAGGGATTTTGCCTTTCAGGGCAACAGGGCCAAATTTTCACACACAGAGTTCAATCCAGAATCCCTCCCCCGCTGAGCAGCTCCATCTCCAAAGACTCCATCGACGCGCTCTTGTTGGTCCAAAGTGCCCACCAACTCCTCAACTCAGAATCTCTCCAGAGAGCCAATCAAGATCCTCCTAAATCTACCAAGCACGCGATGTGTTCAACTGGGACCCAAACTCGGTCCTCAGATATCAAGACCATCCCGCTTAGAATCTCTGCTTGAGCCGCCGTCATTCCAGCGTCTGGTGGCTCTCTCACATGTCCCGTCGCTTGTTCGCTTAGTGCAGTGCTGGTCTGGCCCGCGGAGAGGAGAGGGACAGCCCGGCACCGCCCTGTGCATCAGTACTACTAGCCTAGCGCTGTCGGGAGGGGTGTACCGGGAACTTTTGCCTTGAGCAAGCTTGCTTGTCTGTCTCTTCCACGTCGTCTCTTGCCTTGTCTTCTCCCCCTCGGGCCCCGATCTGAACCACCCATACGAGACCCTTTAGCAATTGAGGAAATAATTCTTCAACCCTGACGAGCTGCCTCATTGAGCCCAAATTGCGTTGGGCAGCCTGGCCTCTCTCCGACTCTCTGACTCGAGCCATCCTCAAGGGCCCTCGGTGGGTTTGCGGCTTCCCATTGCGAAAGAGCTCCAGTCTCCAGAAGCCAGAGGCTTGACAGCCGTCGACGGTTGTGACTCGTGAGGTAATTAGCGGAGGGCACGACCCAATGGAATCCACGGCACAAACGTTCAATAAAACGCAAAGATGCCCAAAGCCAATATTTTGTCTGGTCCAGTCATAGTAGTGGTCTTGCTCCAGTCTCCAGATGCCACCTTTCAACTCACCTCATTCCCATCCTCACCGCGTTGGACAAATCCTGGCTAGACTGGTCGACCGACCGGGGCGCGGGTTGGCATGCCCGGTTCGTTTCTTTAGGCTCCTGGGGTCCCACAGACTCCCACTGGCTTGTATCCGATCCATTTTTCAGGGGGTTTCCGGGAGATCATCCAGGGGAGCCGGTGAAGGACCTGGTGCTAACGGCGCCGACGAAACCTCACGGAGTTCCTCTCATGAACATTGCTCGCGCAGCATGTATACTTCCTGGGTCTGTATGGAGTAAGGTAAGGTAGCTGGCCTTCATCAGCTTCTGACAATGTCGGCCAGAACTTGTTTCGACGAGAGACGGCAGGATCCCACACGTAAACAAGGCCGTGTTCTGCCGAATGTTTGGCCTTGGCTCTTGTTCCTCTCCGCTCCGTGTGTTTGACCCGGGGATACCATCCGGTGTAAAAGGACCCCGTTTTCCTGCATCTAATAATGGGGTTGGCATCTGCAGGACGCGACGCAAGGACTACGGGACAGATAATCGCGTCCAGGCCACTCATCCTCGAGCTTGCGGCGGCGGCGGTTCCTATCGCCCGCTGGTGCTGGATTTGCTGACGCTCCCGGTCCTGGTCGTTCCCTGGAGGCTGGTGGTCTGGTGTAGCCTCCCGCAGCCGCAGCATCTTGGGTCAACCTTGTCTGTCTGGGACCGTCTCGTACGGGCCCCATCAAGCCCACCAAGGAGGTCGATTCAACTGCACACCAACCAACGTTAGCAGCCTGCAGGACACCGATAATTTCCCGCCGCCTCTCGTACGGCAGCTGAAGCTGACACCCAGTGTCACGGCGTGTTTGGCCCTGATCCAGAGCAACAGGCACTCGCTGGCCCGTTCTTCGACCTTAAAATGCCATAACTTGGCATCATCCGCCCTGGATTTGACGCGAGGGAGAGGCAAAGTAATACTGTTGGTCGGTTGGGACCTTGCAGATGATCACCGAGCATGGCTGGCACTTGCCCACCAGCTGTGAAATCGAGATCCATGTCTTTTGGCGCTTGCCTAAGCCTTTTCAAGAACGTCTCGTTGGTTGTCGTATTTGAACAGCAAATCGCAACCCCTTTCGCACTGCAGTGATTTTGATGAGATGCAAATTACGGTTCTGCAGTTCCATGCAGATACGCTGCACATGGAGTCCTTTTTCTCCGTTGGTTGGAGCGGCACAGTCTGGTTGGTGCCGAGAAGCGCCTTTCGCAGGATAAAGTGGCAGTGTCTGGCAGATCTCAGACAGCTTGCTGGCAAAAAATAGACCTCGAGGTACGTCGCAAATGCGTTCTTCTTCCTGGATCGGCTGTCGTCGATCATCAGATTAGCCGCGGACGAACTCATGCGACTCGCCGTCTTCAGTACTGAACGAATTTGGCGAGGGATGATTGCCGTTGAGTAATGACGCAAACCTTAACCAGCCCAGCTTACGACGTTGAAAATGAATATGATCAGCTTATCGACTGCAGCCGCGAAGCAGCGTGTGAGGTGTGAACAATCGGCAGGGTCAATTTTCGGAGCAGGAGAAAGGCAGTTGTTGTTTGCTAACTTAAAGTATGTGCGGCAAAATAGGACTCGGAATTGCTTGCTTATCCCGGAAGCTTCCAATCGAGGCGAAGACGTATCAGTGCCTGCCCAGAGTTGACAATCTGGTATCCCACCGTGCCTGCGTTCAATGTAAAGTTCTACCTCAGTAAAGGTAAGCTGGCAAGGTAAGTGAGTAAAAAACGGGAGGAACATTCAAGACAGACCTCCCAGGTTGGAGCTTGGTCCACGGGTTCGGAGCTCCACATGAGCTCCTTCTGCCGCCAGTGGTGGGTACTCAGAGGATGGGGGCTCCCGGGCTTGAGGAAAGCGCCGGAATTGGTGGCGGCAGGTATCCGTTCTTTCTCCTCCCCTCCGGAGAAGTGGCTTGTACTCATAGATCACGTGATAGGAAAACGCCACAATTGGTTGTGACGTGAATCTGCTTCTTGCTATGTACTAAGGTAGCTGGGGCAGCTTCCGGTATTTGCGCGTAGTCTCTTTGGCAGCGCATCGCAGCTTCCTTTCACGTTCAGTCTTGCGCAACCTTCTATTTGCGCCCGTCCAAACCGCTACTGTCTAGACGAACTGCGTATACACCGTGGGATAAACACTCTTTATACAATGCCTCCGGGTAAGTTCTCACCTCTCCGAACTTCACCCCTCGCCCCACGAGCCAAGTCGCGTCGAGATTGCGACAACGCACTTCACAACGCGAATCCTCCACCAATAGTCCATACAACGTCGCAATGGCGCGTCGCAAAGCAAACAAGGGAAAGAAGCCCATGAAGCTGACAGCTCCTATAGCTATTAGCGACGATGAGATGTCCGACGCCGGCGGCGAAATCGCCATCCCCCTCAAGGAGAAGCGCGCAAAGAGCCGATCCGCGGAATACCGAGACGATGTCAGCGAAGCTAAGAGCGAAGAAGACATTCCCATCATCTCCGGCGACTTGAACGGCAATGCTACCAAGCCTGCCAAGGCAGCTAAGGCAGCCTCTGTCGTGGCCGACGAGGAGGACGAGGAAGGCGACGAAGACGATGATTTGGAGGCTGATGAGTACGCCACCCACACCAAACGGCTCTGCTGGAATAAAAGGGTTGATTGGCCATAGATACGTTGTCGAGAAGATTCTTGACCATCTGGCTTCCGAAGACGCAAGTGCCCCTCTTCTATTCTTCTGTTCGCAGTGCGCCTCGATACTAACGCTTTTCGTAGGGCACCGTGAACTTCCGGGTCAAGTGGGAAGGTTATTCTAAGAAATCAGACCAGACTTGGGAGCCGGAAGACAGCCTGAAGTAAGTTTCAAACTGTGATCTGCGATCAACGCCAACATTGGAGCGACTACTAACACACTCGCAGGGAAGGCGCATCAGAGATCTTGGAAGAATACCTTCAGAAGCTCGGTGGACGCGAGGCGCTGTTTGAGGAGAAGACCAAGGCCAAGGCCACGAAGAAGCGCGGCCGCCCCAGTGCTTCGTCATCTACACCACCGGCGAGCAGCAAGAGAGGCAAGCGCAATGGTCACCCCGCCGAATCTACTCCTCCTGCCTCAGCAAAGGAGGCTAAGGCCAAGGCCTGGACACTGCCCAGCGGCAGCTGGGAGGATGATGTCGAGTCGATCGATGCCTGCGAGGACGAAGAGTCAGGCTCCATCATTATCTATCTCAATTGGCGAAACGGCCAGAAGACTAAGCATCCCAAGGAGGTGGTGTATAAGAGATGTCCCCAAAAGGTATGGTCCCATGTATTTCGGCGCAACACAAGATGACGACGCTAACGGATACTTAGATGCTGCAATTCTACGAAAAGCACATTCGCATCATCAAGGCGGGACCTGACGCCGATCTTCCGGACCTTGATACCGCGCCCGAGGCCAAGATGTAGGACACGAAAAAAAAGGTGCAATTTGTGGATTATTTGGGCAAAGGATTGGCGTTTGGGCTCGTGATACATCTGATATCATTAGCAGGTTCTGGAGCATCGTTGGCTTGGCTTCTGCTCGTTGCGATATTTGCACGCTTTCAGTCCTCGGAAGAAGTCTCATCAGGCCATACCTAAAATCAGGTCGAAGGCGACTCGGACTGAGGGGGGCTTGCTATATCCTTATTGTGACTGAATTAGCGGGAGGATGTGTGCTTCACGGTTCTGCTTCGTAACTTCGGGAGAAAAGAAAACCGCAAGTTCCTTTATCGATTCCAATTGCTCCAGCCCACGCGTGAGATTGCCCCTTGTTGTAGAGGAGGGTGAACATCCTACGTCTCCATCATGTAAACGCAGCCTGGGCGGGCAGGAACTTCTCGGCCTTCATATATTACGACAGAGGTTTTCCTTGTTGGTTCACGTCAAGCAAAAACGTGGTCTCAGAGTCGTGAAGGGCATTTTATCCATGTCAATAGGCGGGCGTCGCCGAGTGCTAGATCCAGGTACGATGCAGGTACAGCTCAGTCATGGCCAAGTAGCGCTTTCGGTCTAGTGAAAGTCGCGATACACACAATTTTACAGGAAAGTGTACATCCGACCTCTCCCCAAGACGGAGAGGCTTACCACGACATGGGTAAGAAACCTGCATGTTGCGAGTCCGCGAGGTTGGGTAGTGGAGGACGTCGCAGCAAGCCCGTCGGGATACTCCACTAAAAAGCAGCTTTACATCCCTGCATCGCAGGCGGTTGGACGAGTGGGAGAGCCTGAAAGTCGCGGTAGCGTTGTCGCGGAATTTTGCCTAGGGTGGTGGTGCACTGGTGGTGGTACTTGGTGGTGCGGCGCGCGGCCCAGCCTCTCACATTTCTATTGACTTTCGGGTTTTGCGGCTGGGCGAGCGACCAGCTTTGGGAAAGCTGGTGGCGGGGCAACGCTTCTTTTTAACGTGAGGCTTGCCCGCGCTGCATTCCTCACCATTCCCAATTCTCCTCCCCTCATTCTTCTGATACAATTGCATATTCTCATTGCAAAAAGGGTTTATTCGCCCGATCTCGAGCTTTCTTTCCCCCTCTCCTCATCATCGTTGATTACTCCCTGGTGAACAATCCCGTTGTCCACTCTGGGTCTCTACCATCAACCTTTACCCACATCTCGGACCCATACAACTCGGCACTGGACAAATTCGTAGCAGGGAACTTCAGCTGCTCATTCGCGAATTGAAATCTCATCTAGCCGTCACGTACGACAATTCCTTAGCTTCCATTTGGGATTCCAACCGAGACTATTTGTCTGACGGGCCATCCCAAAGGCACAGACAAAAACCTCGGACCGTTGAAAGATACCACCAAACTCAATCGTCTTCCCGAGACCATCACATTCCACGGCGTCTCCGCCCAGACCCTCCGTGTCTCTCTTCCTCCTCCCAGCCACCGGCTCTCTCCACACAAGCTGCCCCCGCACCGTACCGCATCGCTCCACACCGGCGCCGGTCTCACTCCCACAACCCCCACAAAAAATCATCGCGGCCGTTGGAGCTCCGTCAGTCTCACACTCAAGAAACGCACAAGAACAAAGGACGACCAGTCCTAGTTAGCAGCCATGGTCAAACAAAACGACGTCATCGCAATCATTGTCATTGTGCTGTTCGTCGTCCTCGCCCTCGTCGCGTTCGGCATCTATAGATTGGTCCACGTTGCGCGCCAGAGCATGAGCGTGACGTCTGGGTCGAGTAGTAGCAGCTCCGACGAGATTGTCGACGACTGATCTACTCGCTGTTTTATCTTTACGGAATTTACTCATCGCTGCCGCTCGCTGCTGCTGCGTTTACTATCTACCATCGCATTTACACTGAGATACCACGACAAAAACTATTATTGCAAGAAAGCGTCATCGCAACTTTTGGTTGCGACTATGAGAGCTTTATGCCAAGGCTCCGGCCGAGACTACGACATGAAAGGGAGAACGAAGGGAATGAATGAATCTGGGATGAGTGATAATGAGGAGGAGAAATTTAGGAAACATGGAAAGGGATATGAGACATGATCAATTGGCATTTTTATCTGGCATTTGCGCAGCATTTTCTTACCAAACAAAGTTGGTCATTTGGGTAACAAGATGCAGCAAAATGTGTCTTGTGGGGGAAGATATCTACGAGTGTATGATACTGGATCTGGAATGGGCTCCGCTAGGGTTGGCGACGACCGTTTTGAAAGGATGAAGATGAGCCCATGTACATAGAACGAACAAATGGGATGAAGCAGGCCTCTCAAGGCTGAAGATGAGATAGAATTGAATACCAGATATCACCACACCTGGCAGGATCGATGTACCCGTAGTTTCTTTCTAGGAAAAGGAGGCGTTTGAGGAAGATATGAAAGACCGTACCTCAACCCCTCATTACCTATCCCAGCAATGTACGCGATTGTAAGGTTGTCGGCCGCGACTGCACGTAGCGAAGGTCTTGTGGCCAGCTGCCCAAGCACTTGCTAAGCCGGTTCCGAAAGAGCTCGCCAAGGAACTGGTTTCGAATAATCTTGTGCCTTTCGTCCATTAATCACGGTCATCGTTAACGTATTCGCGACTACATCGTCAGGTTGGAGGCCGTGACTACAAGTGACAAATGTCATTTCAAGATAACCAATGTAGCCTTTAAACAATCCCGTGCCTTTCGTCTCGCGATTGCGGTCATCGCGTACATATTCGTGACTAGGTAATCAATACCATATGCGAAGGCGCCTGAGCAGAGACTAGAACAGCTCTGCTGATCAGGGATATTTGCAAAGTCACTGAGCAGATACCAAACGGCGCTTCTGATCACGGATACGTGCGAATGCGCTTGAGTTGATACCGAACGGCTCTGTTCTCTGAGATAACGAGACAGCCTAGGTAAAGGCAGGTGAGTGTATATCGGTACCTGTATTCCTTCCTTGGACCCATTCAAAAACAATATGACAAATTGTGAGAATACTATGCGTTCCATTTGAGGAAAGGATTCAGACGTTGAACATAAGTTTTTTCAAACTTTATATGGGTTCGTGATGGTAGTTCTGCTTTTGTCTCTTTGAGAGCTCATGTCTCTGCAGAGCACGCATAGCATACCTAGCCAGGTCAAAGGTACTTTGGGTTGTTCAGGAGCTGGAGCAACAATAACGAATAAAATCATAAAAGCGAGCTTTTCGAATCTCCAAAAGCCCATACTTTGATACTCAATTACAAGTAAAGCGGTGCCAAATCGCTGCTGATGACTTGCATAAACGATGGGGCCACTCACATTGCAAGCTGTGGGTATTGGCCAGCGGGCAAGTAACTCATGTTGCCAGATCAGGCTATAAAAAGCAACCATATTCTCTTCCATCGACCTCATAAACTTCAGTCATGAAGACCTTACCAAAATGCGTCTAATCAATGTGAACACACTCCTACTGGAGGAGTTCATAGGCTGGTGTCCTCAGTACGCAACGTTATCTCACACTTTGAATGGCACGCAGGAGATAAGGTTCAAAGAGTGGCAGGAACAAGATGTCGCCAGATCGTAAAGGGTACGCCAAGATACTCGGGGCTTGTCGATTAACACGAGAATTCGGCCTCGAGTACCTGTGGGTTGATACGAACTGTATCGACAAGGAAAGCTCCGCCGAGCTCTCAGAGGCAATCAACTCAATGTTCAACTGGTATCAGGAATCGGCTGTCTGTTTGGCTTTTCTCGAAGACCTCGACTTTGAGGATATCACTTTACCCAGCTCAGGCGATGAAGTCGTCCCTAGGACGAGACCTGTCTGTTTCAGGACCCAGGGCCAACAACAACATTGTCGGCCTGAACTCGCCCGTAGTCATTGGTTCACTCGCGGCTGGACATTGCAAGAACTCTTAGCTCCAAGGCGGATGTACTTCTTTGACAAAAGCTGGAGGATCCTAGGATCACGTCAAGACTTTGCGTCTGAAATTTCAAACATCACCGGAATACGGAACGAGTTCATTTCCGGCGTCAAGTCGGTTCTAGACGCAAGCAATTCCGAGATGTTTTCTTGACTAGCAGACCGGGAAACGACACGTCCTGAAGACATGGCTTACTGTGTACTCGGGCTCACCATGCCGTTGCTCTATGGAGAGCGTTCGGCGGCCTTTATGCGCCTCCAGGAAGAGCTGATCCGCATCTCGGACGACCAGACAATCTTCTGTTGGACGTGGGATCATACGATCCCACAAGACTGGAGTAGACTACTCGCACCATCGCCCGCGGCCTTCGACGGCGGCGACCCGTTCTTCTGCGGATCCGAGACTGACGAGCACATTGTCGAATGGAGAAAGCCCATATCGTACTTGATGACCAACGTAGGTCTACGCATCCGCCTGCCCACATTGAAGATATCGGGTCTAGATCTTGCCGTCCTGAACGTATCCGAAAGGAGAAGCGAGTCGGGAGAGCAGGACACTAGCACAGGTCGTGTCTGCATTCCCCTCATGACGAACAGCTACCTCGACGAGGTCTTTGGTGTCTCGTCGACACTGGTAGACGACTCTGCGGCTAGTGCTCAGCGATGGGCGATTCCCGAGCAACCTATAACTATTTACGAGCTGAGGAACATATACCCCTCGTCCCTACAGGATTTCTACATCCGTCCGTTGCAACGAGACGCAAAGATGATAAGGAACACAATATCACACTGACAAGCAGGAAGACCTAAATATCCATCGTTACAAATGGTTCTGCCAATCATCGAGACGCGAATGGCACCATCCTTTCACTTGGAATTCAGTTCGATCGATACGTTTTTCCAGAATTCTGTAATCCCACGGCACACAAAATCTATCGAGCGTCTCCATGTAAATTCGACCAGTCAGCATTTCTTCTATTCCCCATTCAGAGGTCTATTTCCACTCCTAAATACGAAAACATGTGGCGCGCTCGGCAATGAGCTACCGCTGCACGTTGGAGACAACCGGGTCGAGACACTAGTTATTGGGGCTTACGCGAGGACTGAAGCACATTCGCTTCCGGAGAAGGAAAAAATGTGACTGGTTTTGTTTTTTCAAAGACGAGCAGCCGACGCGAGCAATATCGGGCGAATGGTCCTGCAATATGGCATGCTCACCGGACAGGACAATCTTGGTGCATCTGGATCGACACACAATTCAATTGCCACACGGAATTATTGCAAAACCAATGTTCATTTCCTTCCTGCCGGCCCCGTCTTTGATAGACCGGGCCCCTGACAGATGGGGACTTTGGAACAACGCGGATATCATTCAAAACACTATGCAACGTAAGATGTTGAGTTGGCCGGAGGATGTTGGCGGCCGATAGTCAGAATTCGACTTGAGGCAGATGAAGGGCCAATGTAGCAAGTGAAATACAACGGCTTGAAAAACTTATTCTCGAGATGATATTCGGTCATGAATCAAGGAGGGAAAAGGGTTGGAAGAAAAGTGCTGTTTTGAGGCCTTCTTTATTGTCTATGTCGAGAAGCAAAGGGAGAGACCGCCATATATTAGCGACGTTCCGCTTTGCGTCTTGGTTCACTTGTTGCGATGGATAAATATTTTAGGGCGATATGAGGAGCCTTTATTGACATTGGGGTTGCCACAAAGTCCATGAGCCTCACAGTTTGAGATAACTCAATGATACCCCTGATGCTGCTTCACTCGACGTTGGTAGTTGGACGTTGAAGTTGACCATCTGAAGTCGCATGCACGGTCCACCTCCCAAAGCAGAGTGTTTGGTCATGAGAGCTTCACTGGCCATCTGATGATGATATCCAAAAAACTGAAAGAAAGTAGCGAGCTGAGCAAAAAGTCGACTGAGTAAGCCATTTGAGTTTGGCGACATGGCTGCCCAAGGCCTGCAAGGTTCACTGTCAGAAGTGGCCGAGGGCGTCGGCAGAAAGAACAAGAGACAGAGACGGCATCGGAACCCCGGATGTTGCAGTGATGGGCGTATCGAGGGGGCTATCTCATTCATGGGCAGGGCAGCTTGAAACATGGACTGGTGGGAGGCATGACGACGGGCGCCCGAGCTCTCTGACGGCAACCTTGCCGGATGATGCGTCTGATATCGGTTCAGTGCATAGACGGAGAACAAGTAACGCGAATATGCGGGTGTATATCCTGGGATACAAGAATGAATTGTTCGTGTGAGGTTGAATTATCGTTAAAAAGGCGGTTGTCTGCACGGTAACCTTCTCAAGAAGAGGATTGCTGAAAAAGGGGACTGAGTTGCAGGGCGAGCTGCGAACGAGCCAGGCGATTGCGGGACATCAGAAGTCAATCGGTGGCGGGACATTCCACCACCTTACGGATACTTAGGTACATACAGATAATTAGCGTGGTGGCATTGGGAGGAAGGAGCCACCTCATCCCTCCCAAACCAATCTTTCAGCACACCCGATTGCGTAGTCCAGGGAAGTAGTCCAGGGAAGTATGTCGCTGCAAGTTCCCGTCAGGTAGCAGATAGACAGGCATTCGGGCAGGTACAACCAATGTACCGTGGAGTCGATGCGGGACCGAGATGGTAGAGACGTTCAACATTGAATTCCGTGAATGGCCAGAACCGACGACTATTGCTGACGAAAAATGATGGAAAATTATGTTACACATTCTTCAAATTGACAAAATTCGATGCAAGTAACAAGAACATCTTCACCAGCCACACTGATGGTGAAGTGGCGGCGCTATCAGGCTTAGCTCGGGGCTGACGCTAACAGGAGCCCCAGAATCGACGGTCGAAATACTTCCCACCCCCCATCAACCAGCGGGACCAAAGGCTGCCCTGGCAGCAAGCTACCCCCAAGGACAGACAGACTCCAGCACACGTCCACCCGTTCTCCTTCTGGCTTGCATCACGACACGACCTCGAAATCCCACCTCAACCTCATTCAACTCCCTTCCGAGCGCCTTGTCACCCCATCGCACCACCACGCCGCCCTCCCGATTCCGATTGCGCGACGACCATGTAAATGGTTCCTCCCATTACATTGCGAACATCCTCATGATTGCTCCATTCCACTGCGACGGGACCGCCCTACCGAGCAGCCATGGACAACAGGGCCCAACGATTCGAGGATGAGAAGCGGCGCATCATCGAGAGCTGCTTCATCAAGAAGGATGTAGACGGATCATGTGCGTTGACTTCCGACGTCGCTGAAATTTCTCAGACAAACAAGTCTGCTTTATATGCGTATGGTACTGACCCTTGCTTGCTTCCGTCGATAGTGCTCGAGACATACATCACCCACATTCGAATCACCGAGTACTCCTCCCATCCGACCTCTCCTCCGCCGCCTCAAGCACGAACACCCGAATCACAGAAACCCCGCGTAATCGTCGTTGCAGTAAGAAAGAGTGGCCGAGTGCGTATGCACAAGACGAAAGAGAACGCCAACGGCTCCTTCTCAATTGGGAAGACATGGAACCTCGACGACCTCTCCGCCATCGAGTCCTTCACGGGGCCGCCGGCTAATCCGACCTTCCGCGAATGGGCTGGTGATACTGGCTTCATCGTCACCATCGGAAAGCCCTACTTCTGGAATGCGCAGTCGGATAAGGAAAAGAAGTTCTTCATTGCCAGCCTGGTTAAGATCTATGGCAAATACACGGGAGGCAAGGTCCCTGAGCTATCGGGCTTCGACCAGGCCGAGATGTCCCAGATCCTGAGAAACGAACGACGACCACCCCCTCCCGCACAGGCTGCCTTCCGACCCCCCGCAATGCCCGATGCTGCTTCTAGTCAGACCAGCCTCGGCGCTCCCAATGCGCCCTCCAACTATGGAACTCCTTCGCCTGGCCCGCCAGGCCCTCGCCGACCACCACCTCTTAATGGAATGGCGAATAACTCACCAGCGGGAAGCATGGCATCTTCGTTCTCGCAGGAACCCCCTACGCTGCGAAGATTCGGGAACAAGAGCCAAGAATCTTTCTCGCCTTCCCTGGGAGGCAGAAGCGACGATACGGGAAGCATGCCGCCGCGCTCACGAAATGGCATGCCTGGGCAAGGGGCCTTTGGTAGGTTCGGTGAGCCAGGTCAAGAGCCTGGACTGGGACCGCCTCCGCCAATCTCCGAAGAAGGCAGACCACCAGAAAGGAAGAGACCACCGATGGACCCAGCAAGGCCCCAGGGACAGGGCTTCAACGACAGAGACCTGGTTCCTGCGCCGTTAGTTAGCCCGGGCATGCGACGAGATCAAGTTGCCCCTCCTCCGAGGAGTACAGCCAGGAAGAACTCTCTTTCGCAGAGGTCAGACGGAGGTTCTTACAGGGACAATCGACCAGTCACGCCCCTTACGCCTGGAGACCCGGGTGCACCAGACATTCCTCTCGCACTCAGAACCCCGACAAGAAATGGAGCAACACCCACGAGACAACCTCCTCCTATCGTCTCTCCGCCGCCTGAAATCCCTGTTCCTCCTGCCCCGGTTTCTCCCATCGTACAGACTCCGCCTCCAGCCCCTCCACCCGCGCCCGTAGCTGCGGTCGAGGAAACCATACCCGAGGAGCCTCCGGCTGTTGAGCCTACCCCTGAGCCTGAGGCTCCCGCGGAACAAGAAGATGAGAGCCGGCCAGGTTTAGGACCGATGATCAAAGCAAAGAAATCCAAGAACGACCTTGCTGGTGTGCTCTGGAAGGCTGCCTCCGCCGCCTCAGCTTTCAAGCCTCGACCTGGCGGTGCTGGTGAAAGACTTCGACAGCTTGCCACAAAGAGCACTGAACCCGCTGAAGGAATCACAACAGTTTTCCAACCTCCGCCACGGCCTGCCTCTTCTGACGGCCCCAAAGTCACATCCCCAGAACCTGCAGTCGAAGAGACTGCTGCACCTGTGGAGCCTCCCAAGCGCACATCTGGTGTGCCTGAGGTCAAGGTTACTGTGCCTAATTCTAGCCGACCATCAAGTTTGCAGCCCTCAATTCAGGAAGTTATTAGCGTGAAGAAGCCAGAGGAATCCGCAGCCAAGGAGGAGAACAGCAAGTCGATAGTTGCCGGTAATGACGCCAAGTATCTTGCATCTCTTGGTATTGACCCCACATTCTTGGATAACAAGAGCGGCGAATTCACGAAGTGGCTCGACTACTTCGGATGGGTTCCTGGCGAGCAGATGAGATCTCGTAATGTGGATGAGATGAGGACAGACCTTGAGCGAGAGCTCAACAAAGCACAAGCAGGTGGCTGGCTGGCTCGGTTTCAGGAAGAGGATGATCGTGTCGAGGCTATCAAACGCGGCATTGACCTGGCAGTCGCTGAGTGTGAAGAAATGGAGAATCTTCTGACGCTGTATAGCGTTGAGCTTTCGGTAGGTTGCTTGGTAAACTTTCCGAAACTGTTGCTGACCAGAGATAGACTCTTTCTGATGATATTGCATACATTGAAGCTCAAGGCCAGGGTCTTCAGGTGCAAACTGCTAACCAGAAGCTGCTCAAGAAGGAGCTCGAGTCTCTTCTCGAGACAACTACTATTACCTCTGCCGACCTGAACGCCTTGAGAGCGGCGCCACTGGAAGATCTGAACGGCCTTGAGGACATTGAGATGTCTTTGGTTACTCTCTACAAGGCCATGATCAAGATCGATCCCACATTACTTGGGGGCGAACCACGGAAGAGCGAAGATATTGGCGGAGAAGTTGATCAAGCCGTGGGTCTCGAGAACACCGATTATGGCAAGATGAGAATCGTTCAGGAGAAGAAGGAGATGTACCGACAAGAAAGCGCTGTCTTCTCGCGACGGTTGGTCGGCTACATGGCCCAACAGTTCGATGTAGCCTACAACGAAGTCAACAGAGCGCTTCGCGAAGCTCTCTCGAGAAAGGTGGATTCTCGCCACCACGACACCGGTCGAGACATGTTGTGGAAGTACAGTCCCTTGATCAAATACGCCAAGGACGTCGACCCCGCCAACTGGGATCGCATGATTCAGGTCTACCAAGACAAGAGCCACCCGGTTTACAAGAACGAATTCCGCCAGGTCTTGGAAGCGTGGAAGCGCAATGCGCGCAAGATGACCGCCGACGAAACATCCGAGCTCCTGTTTACATTTGAAGTCGAAAAGCAACAGGAAGGCAGAGCGACCACTGTCAGGAAGCTTACCGTCAAGCGCAGTCAAACACTGGCCAAGAGTTTGCGTTCGCCCATCGATACCAGCAGTAGGACTAACCTGAAGGAGTCGGGCGAGAACCGAAGCCTTCCTTACGAGGTGTTTGGGCAGGTACTGGACGACCTTCTTCCGTTGGTTGAGATGGAGCAGAATTTCATCATCGACTTCTTCCACGCCACCACGCTGGAACAATCAGACTTCCCGGACCTGGTCGCAGCCAGCAGGCCGTCAGATCGGAGAGGCGGCGACTTGCGTCGTCATCGTTTGATGGAGCCTGACCGTGATCTTGCTCGACGTGTTACTAAGGGTATGGAAGTGATCTTCATCTTCCTCGAGACAGAGATTGCCAAGCTCATTGAATGGGTTGTTCAAGCCGATCCTTTGTAAGTTGATCCCAGTTCCGTGTCATCGTCATGGCATACTAACCAGATGCTTCAGGCAAGGTGCTGGTGTCTTGGCTGTTCTCGAGCGGAACCTGTTGGATATCCAGCAGTCTAATCAAGACTTCCTCAACGCTCTTCTCCAGAAGCTCCACGGTATCTTGGAGTCCCGATTTAAGAAATTTGTCGACGAGCAGATCCGCGCCATCGAGGAGACTAAGGTCAAGATTAACAAGCGCAAGGGCGTTATTTCGTTCATTCGCGTCTTCCCTCAGTTCTCCAACGCCGTGGAAAACATTCTCTCGGGTATCGACCCTAACCTAGCCGTGCGCAAGACGGTTGACCGCGAGTACGATCGTATCCTCAAGTCCATGTTCGACTCTCTCAAGATCATTGCCCGCGAGAACCCCGCAGTCAGCGTCAGTGCGGCAGGTGCGGATCCAGAGGACAAGGAGGCTCTCAACTTCCACATTCTGCTCATCGAAAACATGAACCACTTCCTCGAGGAGATCAACACGCACGGCCTCAATGTCCTTGAAGACTGGCGTGAGGCTGCGTCAGGCGAGATGAACGAACACATGAATCTCTACCTGAACGCTGTAATGCGGCGCCCCCTTGGCAAGCTCCTCGAGTACGTCGAGAATATCGAGGGTCAGCTGCAGTCGGGCAAGCCCGGCTCGAGCATCGCCTCGCAGCCCTCCAATTCCAAGTCCACCTTCCACAAGGTCTTGGCAACGTACGACTCGCGCGAGGTCCGTAAAGGTATCGAGACGCTACGCAAGCGCGTCGAGAAGCACTTTGGCGACGCGGACGACCCTGCTCTCAGCCAGAAGCTTGTGATCAAGGTGCTCCGTGAGTGCGAACGCTTCTACGGCGAAGTGGAGCTGCGCATTAGCCGCATCACTGCCGACGTCTATAGCGGAGACGTCCTCTTTGAATGGCCCCGCGCCGAGGTTAAGTCTGGCTTCCGCTAGAGGCATATGCTGCTTGGCCTGAGAGCTGGGACCTATTAATTTGATGCCGAGTCCGCTACCACATACAGCAAGCCAGACGCAGCATCAGCTTGTGTCGGATTGCCTTCTTCTCCTCAAGCCTCCTGTTCGGGTTTAGTTGCCTCCTGGCACAAGTGAGAGAAGCATGGCCGAAGGGGGACGGGGCTTGTGTAACGTGTACCCGCAACTGCTTACTTTTGACTTTTATTTTTCTTCTCGAGATACCTTTCTACGAACAAGAGAAGATGAGGAAATTTGGAGACCAGAGGAGGAGGTTGGGAGGGGGACCATGTCGTTTTTTGTCATGTTGTTTCTATAGGCGGCAGAAGGGAAAGGGAAATCTTTGGAGGCGACGTTTTCTGAAGGCCACTTGATCCGAGAGAGGGGATTTTTCGGTATCCATGGGGTGGACAACAAAGCCTTTGTATTGCGCGCAGATAGGGAAGGGGGACATTAGATTCCTGTGATGAAATGAGAGACCTTTTACGCCGTGTAAACTCATTTCCTGATGAACATCTAACAATTCCTCGTGAAAATACGGGGCAAGCTGGCAACGTCTGTAATGCAAGGCGGTAATATCATCGTGATCACGTTTTACACAATACAAGGGACGCGACAATTTTGTCACAAATCAATTTTGACCATTCTATCAACAGGATCCCCTTGGCATGTCATAAACCAGCAGGCTTCAAACGGGTCTGGTCATGGACCCTAGAAACAGTGCCGAAACAGGAGGGAAGTGCCTCGAGGCCATAGCAGGGAGGCAAGCCGAAAAGCACGTCTGACGCCTAACGAACCTGCCATGCAAAGTCGGGTGGAGGGGCTTCTCTTCAATGTGTTGTTACCCTCGCCCTTCAATCCACCTCACCCAAAACTGGTGTTCCCTGACCCAGACCGTTCCCATCCATAAAATCTTTATTGTTGAAAGAAAACCATCGCCCGATGTGCAATGTTTGTTGATGTATTTCATACCACACTCATGTAAATGTGGCGACGTTCGCTGAGATGGCCAACTCGGCCATCAGGTTCGCTATCCGTTTTTTTCTGTTTTGGGTTTCCTGGAACTCGCTGATTCGGTGACAGACACACCGTCTATGACAGGTGGAAAGCTCCCTGGCCTTCCTTGATGGCAGTAGAGAGCTGTTTGCGCATGGCTTCGATATTGGTGTAGTCGGGTAGCTTAAGGTAGTTGACACACGTCATGACACTAGGGAGATAGTCGTCAGACGTGTAGGGGTGTTCACTCGGCTTGCAGACGACCGTGAACATCGGCGTCAAGCTCTTGAATCCTGTTGCCTGTGTTAGCCTTGTCTGCTTGAAACATGTCGAGGAAGTAGAGAGAAACGTACCTCCGATGGGGAGCTTGGGGCTGCCCGTGGTGAATTGCAGGAAATCGCGGCGCTCAGGAGCTGATAGCTCGCTCATCGTCTGCAGCAAGTTCTTAACGGTCTTGCTGTCCATGTTGTAGCCGTGGTCCGCCTTGATCGAGTCCATGAGTGCTAGCGAAAATGTCAGTATATCGTTAGGTGTACACACGGGGAAGTACTTACTTTCGAGAGACCAGTCCTCATCAACCCGGCCAAACAAAGTTACCAGCTCATCGGGAGTAAATGCGCTTAAAGCAGAGTAGGGGAAGACTTGAGAGAAACCGGTGCGGAAGGCGTCAACCTGACGGCGAACGCCAGTGCCCAGGGTCATGTCAATAACACGCTCGAGGTACGAGTCCACATTGTCAATGGTGACCCGAATTTGTCCACCGTTGGGCATCAGCTCGATCTCTGGGAAACCAGGAAGCGTGAAATCCAGGCACAGGTCGTCCAACTTGACACCGTCAATAACAATATCCTCTGTATCGGCGACCTTTTGGGCAGGCGTTCGTGAAGGGTCTTCGTCGATTTCCTTCTTGGCCACGGCGAACTTCTTAATTGTCTTCAGAGACCTGGCTAAGCCGGGATCGACGACCTTAACTGCGCCAAGTGATGGCTTCACGCCAGGTGCCGATGAACCATCTCCAATGCGGAAGAAGGTGGGGTTGAAGTTCAGATCAATGATGCGAGAATCGATCATTGAGCGAGCAACAAACTTGCCGAGGGTTTTAAATAATTGCAGGATACGTTCCCCGTTAGGTGCAATGGCTTCATCGTCGCTGAGTGGCCGAGGGAAGAGTCCACTCGCTCCAGAGATGTACTCTTCCGAGTCGTTCGAATCCATCTCTCTCCATAGCTTAAGCTTTTTCTTAGAGAACTCTCTCGACACCGTTGAGTAGAACTCAAGTGTCGGACCCAAGCCGGTCCCGACTTCCTCAAAGTATTCAACCTCAAGAATGCTCTGAGACGCGCCATACAACTCCATGACTTTCAAGGCCGACTCCAAGATCTTGGATCTTGAAATGCGAACCTTTTGGCGCTGTAAACGACCCAAGAATGGTCTATCGTCGCGGCGATCGCGACGCGAGTCGTCTGCAGAGTGGGCGTTCTGCCAGCGAGTCATCGAGCGGGCATAACCGAATGAGGTCGACTGCAAGAACAAATGCCTGGTTTCAAAGGGAAAGAGGAAAGGGTACAGTCGTGCAAGGTCTTCTACCCAACTTGGCAGACAATTGCTCGCGACGATCAAAGGCTCTTCAAGCTGTCGATTGAGCTTCGCAGTCAACTTGGTGTTGACGAACTGTGATAGGGGCTCAACATTCAGTCGAACGGCATCCTTTTCGCTGTTCTCAACCATGACATCTTCGATGTTGGCGTTCAAGTCGTGAAGGATGTTGAGAAGGCGAAGGATAGAGGCTGTCGAAGGGTGCTTGGCGAGAGATGCCGGAACGTTTCCTTCGCCGTTCTCCTCCGTGCTGGCCTGAGCATTGGAACTGAACGAAAGGGTTTCTGCGGGGGGCGGACCAGGGGCACGTCGGAACTTGATCGGATGCACTGCAGACCAGACGCTTCGGCTGAAGTGCTCGTCAGAGTTGGCGGCCGAGGTGTGGACGGCACGGTAGATTGTAGTCTCGCTCGTAATCACCTTGTCGTCGAGAGTGAATTGGATATGCCAGTCTTGTGGCACAGCTTGAATGGCTGCAGCGTAAGACATCGGCCTCGATGAGGTTGCCGGCGTGGGGGTGCTTTGTGCCGCAGGAGGGGGCGGAAGAGCACTAGAACGAGTAGGCAGAGAACTCTGCGATGGCGTGGGCACTCTGGTCCCATCATCCTTCCGTGCGGTGACCTTTCCACCAGCAGCGATTTCCATATTGACAGCGCCAGGCTCGGGGCCAGGAGATTCGCTCATATCCTCGTCCAAGTCACCTACAATAGCATCCAATGCACTGCTTCCGCCAATCTCTTCGTCGTCAGACAGGTGCTTCTCGTCTGCACACTCGAGGGCATTCTCCAGGTCATCTTCTTCCGGAGGTGGTCTAGACGGCACTGGGCTATCTGCAGCCGACGCCGCGCTACGACGAGTAGATCTTCTCAAAACACCCTTGTCTCTGGTGCTGGAAGAGGTATCGGGAGTGGCCGCAGTCTCCGACTGCGGTGTTGACTTTGACTTGGTCTTGCGAAGAGAACGCGAACCGCTAGGCGTAGGCACACTGGGCGGTGGTGGGATCGGACTTGACCCAGACGCTGCTGACGCGCGCTCCGCAAGTCTAGCTGCCGCATGACTGAGTGGCAAACCAGCAGAGCCTGCCAACGAGGCGAGGGCTCTCGAGAGGTTGTCGGCCCGCCTTGAGGAGCCACGTGGCCGTTCAGAAAGACTGATTCTGGGCCTCAGGTAGTCATCGAGAGACTTGAAAGTGGCGATGGCGTGAATTGAAACCATTATGTTTCTGTATGACTTGGGTATAGATTCGTCATCAGCCACAAGCCTGAGCCGAATCTGCTTCGCAAGCATGGACGCCGCACTACTGCGATTGCCATCGAAGGTATTTTGGTGGACTGTGATGACCTCGAAATGCTCAGATCTACTAAGCAAATCTTGAAGTTTGTGGACCATGACACTAAAGGGGGTCGCAGGTGAATCGGCAGTGGCGGTCTTGGGCTTGGACTTGACGCTGTAGCCCATGAAGACCTGCAAGAAGTCCGCCTGGGCAGTGCGGGCTAAGTCCTCATCGGGATTGCTGAAAACTTCCAAAAGCACTCTTACGAGTCCGGAAGCCAGAAGCTCTGCACTGGTGACACTTTCGAGGACGTCTGCGTCGAAAGACGAGGCCAGCTTCTTGAAGAGCTCTACGCCGTTCTCGGGTGAAAGGTTGCCTGCCGACCTGTTGAGGTAAAAGGCTTCAATCTCTTCAGCAAGATCTGATAAATTAGTGAGAATCTTAGTCGCCTTCTTCTTCATGGCCTTGCCGTGCTTCTCAGTCTCGTGGCTCTCCAGGAACTTCTTGGCCACCTCACGAATCCTGCTTCGCATCGACGGAACGTCTGACAGGAAGTGTTGAGGCGGCCCGTCAAGCGACATTGTTGAGCCACGTGAGCTAACTGGCGACCCAGAAATGTCGTCTGGATGAGGCTCATTCTCATTGTCCTCATCATTCTCCTCGTCATCCGACTCTTCGTGCTCTTCGTCGTCTTCCGACTCTTCATTGTCTGAAGATTGGTCACCAGAGTCTGCCGCGGCCTGCTGCTCTGTGTTGTGCGACTCCTGCGAGCCGGCCGGCTCTGGCGCTGGGGGCGGCGTGTGCTCCTCGATGGCTAATTTGGTGATTTCCGAAATGACGCCTTCACGGTAGAGCTGATACCGGTATACGTCCTCCAAGCGACTAAGAAGAAGTTCTGTGGCTTGGAGCGCCAGCATAACCAGTGAGGGATGGTCCTGTTGAGATAGAATCGAAGCCAGGAAAGAAGCATAAGACACTGTCTTCAGCGCTTCGCTAAGAATCTCCTCGTCGAGGTTTGAAAGCATCTTCAGCTGGGCTGTGAGTACCTTTTGACGAACATTGAGGTTAACTGTGCTCGAAAAAGCGTCGGTCAAGGTCGGGAAAAGAATCAGGGCAA